TGGTTTGATTGACGTTAATCTGACGTCAGATTTCATGGTCAGATTTTGGTCATTTTATAATTGATTTTGAAAGTATCTTAGACGTTGAAAACATGACCCAAATCTAACATCCGTATAATGGTCAAATCATGACGTCAGTCTGACCATGATTAACTGGTTTAAATGGACGTCGACAGGACGTCAGATTCTTGGTTGAATTTAGGTCAGTTAATGGTTAAAAGTGTAATTTATTTAGACGTCTAAAACACAGACATGAGATCTAATCTCTTTTTTGAATATGTGTGGAGGTAAAAGACATCAGGCCGTCGATCTTGATGTTTTCTCTGATGATTGTTGCCACGTATGGTAGGGCTTGGGTAGTATGTTTCTTCTCCATCAATTGCAAAGAGCAGAGATGAGCTGGGAAATTAAAAGGAGATGAATGAAATTGTGAATTTTCTTGAATACCAACACATTCAAACATATTTTTTTTGTGACTCGTCAATAATTAAAACAAAATAGATTCTTTATGTAAGCCAATTTAAGTGCAGCGGCAATTTTATTTTCGGAGATCCGAAGGAAACAATTATTCTTATGAAGAAGACATGCACATATTAAGTATACTGGGCAGTTCCATGCGATTCCAAGAAAATAAACAAAACTTAAAAATTAGAAGAATATTAAATTTTAAAAACTGCAAGCATCACAAGGTCCTCATTTGAGTTAGTGCGGTAGTGAGATTTGGAATATTTCAGTTATCGATCAACATAGTGTAGGAAATTTGTCTCATGTTGAGATGTGCGTTAAATGACAGCAGTTTTAGGCTTAAATGCAGCTTGGACATGATGATGGAAGGCGGGCAGAACATGCATGACTGCTGATTAGCTTAGATTGTCTAGATTTCAATGTTTAAAATAAAGGGCACCGTAAGTGTAACTTTGAATTTGAAATAAGAATTGACAATAGCATCTAACATTAACAACTTTCAACAATGAGAAGTTGAAGTATTTTTCCATTGATTTTTATGTTACACAAGTAAGTAGGCATACAGAAGGGAACCCATTGTACATATCACTGTCAGGATAACATTTCAAGACTACTCGATCTCGTCCTTAAAAAGAAATTTCAAATCCCTAACTCGGAAACAATCGCATTAGAAACTTACCGTTTTTCAGACCGGTACATTGCAAAAGCCGACCATGTAGCCTAGGCCTGCATACTTCTATAAATCTTGATAATTGCAGTTCAATCAAAATCTTGTGCTTGTCCCATACATCCTGATGTCGTATCTTGACTTGAAGTTAAGATTAGCAGGAACACAATATCTTGTCAACAAGTGGCATATACTGTAGGACAATATACTGTTGCAATGTGCCCACAAAACTTTCACATGTTGACCCACCACGTCTTTTCCCGAAGTGTTTCGAAGTTGCTAGACTCGTGTAGCATTGGAATGCAAGAGGCCGGTCACATACAGGGCATAAATAATGCTTACGCACGCGCGGTGCGCGCGATGTTTTGGTCATTTGGCGCGCGGGGCAGGAATTTTGGCTCGGAGCCAAGACGTACGTTTGGATGTTGTATTTTGGTTTAAACCATGACATAATGACAACGTTAAATATTTTAATCATCCATCGATCAGAACTTAACGTCATTATTTGAATCGTCGAAAGGACGTTAGAAAACGGACGTAACTATGGTTGAAAACATGACCTATAATAACGACTTCAAATATTATAACCAGCAGCCGACCATAATCCAACGTCACTATTCGAGTAGTTGAAAAAAATGTCAAAACCATGACATAATAACGACGGTAAATATTTTTACCATCCCCTGACCAGAACTCAACGTCGTTATTTGATTCGTGGAAACGACGTCTGAAAACGGACGTAATATCATTGTTAAAACACAACCTATTAACGACGTCAAATATTATAACCAGCAGCTGACCACAATAAAACCTTGCTTTTGGAGTCGTTGAAAAAAACGTCAAAAACGGACGTTATATTTTGGGGAAAACCATGACATAATAACGACGTTAAATGTTTTAACCATCCCCTGACCAGAACTCAACGTTGTTATTTGAATCGTGGAAACGACGTTAGAAAACGGACGTAATATCTTAGATGCAAACATGACCTCATAACGACTTCAAATATTATAACCAGCAGCTGACCACAATAAAACCTCGCTTTGGAGTCGTTGAAAAAAACGTCAAAAACGGACGTTATATTTTGGTGAAAACCATGACATAATAACGACGTTAAATGTTTTAACCATCCCCTGACCAAAACTCAACGTTGTTATTTGAATCGTGGAAACGACGTTAGAAAACGGACGTAATATCTTAGATGCAAACATGACCTCATAACGACTTCAAATATTATAACCAGCAGCTGAACACAATAAAACCTCGCTTTGGAGTCGTTGAAAAGACGTCAAAAACGGACGCTATATTTTGGTGAAAACCATGACATAATAACGACGTTAAATATTTTAACCATCCCCTGACCAGAACTCAACGTCGTTATTTGAATTGTAGAAACGACGTTAGAAAACGGACGTAATATCATGGTTAAAAACATAACCTAATAACGACTTCAAATATTATAACCAGCATCCGACCACAATTCAACTTCGCTTTGGAGTCGTTGAAAAGACGTCAAAAACGGACGCTATATTTTGGTGAAAACCATGACATAATAACGACGTTAAATATTTTAACCATCCCCTGACCAGAACTCAACGTTGTTATTTGAATCGTGGAAACGACGTTAGAAAACGGGCGTAATATTTTAGATGCAAACATGACCTCATAACGACTTCAAATATTGTAACCAGCAGCCGACCATAATTCAACGTCAATGCTTTAGTAGTTGAAAAAACGTAAAAAAACGGACGTTGCATTTTGGTTGAAAGCATGACATATGTACGACGTCAGATATTATAACCAACGGCCAACCACAATTCAACGTCGTGTTTTGATTTTGTTGAAACGACGTTAGAAAGCGAACGTCATATCTTGGTTGAAAACATAACATAATTGTGACGTCTTAGAGGGAACCATAATAATGACAATAATACAACGTTGTTTTTCAGGCCGTTGTAAAGACGTTGACAAAACAACGTCATATCATGGTTGAAACTATGTTACGTATTATTTGTGACCAAATTCCTACTACATTGTGACGTTGTTGTTATGTCAAATTCTGACGTTAAATTGTCGACACTAAAGCAACGTCTGGCAGACGTTATAATGACAACGTTTTCTTTGGTCTACCAAAAAGACGTTGTTTTTCGGTTAGGAATGGTTGATCCGACGTTGCGACCATAATACAACCGTTATACAACGTCAGTCTGACGTTTGGTGCCTGCTGGGTTAGGCCAAAATTATGTGAGATTTTCACATGTATGTTACTACATTGTATGGGTATATGTTACTAGTATAGGCGAGTTATGAATAAAAGTTATACCCTCAAAATATTCTATATCACTAGAGATTTCTGAGAGCCATAAACAGGGGTGGATCCGGGAATTTCTGCAGTGGGTCAGAGCAGGGGGGGGTCATATTATTTTTATGTATTTCTATGAAAAAAATTGGAGTCGCGCCTGATAAAATTGGGGAATTGAAGAGATTATGGCAATGAACCTCTGGCCCGGACTTGGGGCTTCCAATTCTGGATGCAATTGGGCTCGAAAGTGGCGCTATTTTGCCATGTTGTGGAGGGATCGTTTGTCAAGATGGCTATTTTTCCGCTTTGGGAAAAATAGGGGTCGTCTTCTTTGAGTGAGAACTCCTCGAAAAGTCAATGGTCAGCCACAAAATAAAAATGAAAATAAAATAAAAGATTACATGTTGATCATCATTTTTCTGTGCAGCTTAAATACATGTGAGAGTTTGTAGTATTTGTAAAAGAATTTTGAAGTATGGGCTTTTAGCACTGGTGTCTATGGGAATTTTAATACAGGGGTGCATCCGCATAGAAGGGCAAGGACGTATTGACGATCTGGGCCAACAACGCCATTGCAAAGCTAGACTTCTTTTCAAGTCGTTATTGATGTTGTTCACGTTGGTTCATGTGGCTTGGCCGCGATCGTTATCGTATGAATATTTATACTGCTACTACAAGGCTATATATACTATACAACAAGAAAATCAACCCACAGCTGAGAATAAGAATTCTCAATGCATATGCTGGAAGCGTCTTCCTGTACAACAGTGAACTTTCAACTTGAACAAAAACCTTGGAGAACCAAATTGATGCTTTCCACAGACGTCATCTAAGATACATACTAGGAATTCGCTGGCCAGAAAAGATATCAAATGAAGACCTGAAACCATGGAGAAATATTTCTCCATGCTGAAACCAACCAAAAGCCGTGGAGTGTAAACATCATTCAAAAACAGAAGATTGAGCTGGCTCGGTCATCTACTGCGTCTGCTACAAGACGCACCAGCAAAGATTGCACATGACGAAATACAAAGAAAGTGAAAAGACCGGCAGGGGGAAGAAACGAACATGGTTAGACACAATTGTTAACAACGACCTCAAACCCCTAGGCAGCATAGACCTGAACAAGGAGACCAATGACAGAGCTGGCTGGAGACAACAGATCAGACGCGCAATGTTTAATTAGAAACGAGTGCGCAACAGACGACGACCACGACAAGGCTAGAACGCAAGTCTAACATCCTGGGGGAGAAAACCGCCGTGACGTCAACGTGCGCGTCTAGGCCACACTGGAAAACAGGGCCCAAGCCATGTGATATTTAGACTTGATTCAGTCCAGGTGTTATGAGCTCCGACAGGATTAAAACAATCCGTAAGCGTCACAGGGTGTAATTCAAAACTAACTTAGTCATTGAAATGTCATGTAAACAAAATCAGAATTCGCTAATAAAACATCTGAATTTCCAATTATTATTCGATCAGAACAGGCTTCCTCAGCGTGAACTGAGGACTTGTGTGAAGTTTACCACAATGTCGTCATATCAGACTATTTTTATTTTTTCTAGATTGCACTCGACTCTATCTCGCACACTGTAGTTTATCAGACGAACGTACGGTAACATGCAATGCGGACAATCCTTGGCAGTGTTCTGAGACTGTGGCATTACATGTTGGACTAGTACTTTTTATTCACGACCGAATCTCTTCATATCAGATAGGTAGATTGATAACCTGTTGATCCGAAGAAGTTCCTTTGTCTAGGATTCACAAGTCGACTTACCGAGGACGAAAGTTTGCGGGAAAAGGACCGAAATTATGCATCGTCCAAGCTCAAATTCAACGTCGCCACCAAAAGAAAAGAAGAGGAGGTGAGTTGAAAATATTGCCTTAAAATTTGTATTGTAATTTGTATTATTAACTGTGAATACTGAAGTTAATTGCCTCTAAATTCATTAGTAATAGTTGAATATACATTGTAATGAGGCCTAGGGTTCTTATATTCATTAAATTGTGTCTTTTGAATAATTTTAATTACTCAACCACTGAGGTCTGAGCACGTTTTTGTACGCCGGTCAATGGCAAGTCGAAATACGCGTACTGTCATACAGTATAAACAGAGCACACAATGGGTAGTCTACACTTGGTCGTCATTGTCGTGGAGGTTAGTTTTGGTTTAGCATTAGCAATAAGCAGGTCAAGATATTGGTGAAAATGTAGTTTAGGACACCTGTATTTTTTACTAGTTCCATTCAAAAATGACTTTTGCAAATGACTGTCTTATTCCAAACTGACTTTTGCAGCCTTAGCCTCAAGACTTTTGACTTTATCACTTGTCACCCTGTGCACAAACGCTATTATTAGACTGGTCTGAAAATTTCGAAATTGTTTTCTCAGTCAACACTTAATATTGTCCCTGGTAATTTTGACTTTTTTAGGACATATTATCACATTCTGATGGCTGATATTAAGTCACTGAAGGGAAAAATTAGTGATAGCCAGTTATATCATGGGAATCTTTCCTTTTTTATCAATTTTCCAGCCAGGTTTTTGTAATTTTGATCACTAAAGTCACTTGTCCTAAACTACACTTTTACCAAGACGTTAACTGCCGTTCTTGATTTTTTCTTCAAGCAAACGTGTAATTAAACGTTGGCATATGTGCTTATATTGTCCCAGTGTAAAACATGGATTTATTTAATATTGTTAAAAAGTGTGTTTTAAAGAAACATTGCCATGCAGGAAAGAGAAATATCCTGACGCCACTTGTGTACAAAGTCTATGGAGAGTTGAGTGCATTTTTCAACAATTTTTTGCAATGACTGACCTTCATTGAGATAATATATGATGAAAAAAGTGGAGTCAGGACGCAACATGGATACATGTCCCAGTCTGAGACATCACAATCAAAATGACATTCTGTTTCAGATTTCTTTTCCATTTTAATGAAAGACTAAAAGTTTTCTCATGAAAGTTGTAATTAGTACAACTGAAAAGAATACTGGTACCGTAGTGAATGTGATTGTGGTAATCTATGAGAGTAGTCAGTACACATCGTGAATCATATTAATTTTTATTAAAATTAAATCCTCCATTTTTACAGTTAGCCCTAACCCTCCTCAATCCTCCAAAATCATCCTCGTGGTTTTGGAGGATTTTGGAGGATTGAGGCTGAAATAGTATTTTTTTTAGATAAGGATTTTGGAGGATTGAGGCTGAATGGTATTTTTTTCAGAAAAGGATTTTGGAGGATTGAGGCTGAATGGTATTTTTTCAGAAAAGGATTTTGGAGGATTGAGGCTGAATGGTATTTTTCAGAAAAGGATTTTGGAGGATTGAAGCTGAATGGTATTTTTTCAGAAAAGGATTTTGGAGGATTGAGGTTGAATGGTATTTTGAGGCAGGACTGTCTGAAGATTTTGAAGGATTGAGGGGCTGGGTACCCTTCATTTGAACATTTAAGCACTTGCAACATTTTTGGATGAGGAAGATTTTGGAGGATTGAGGATGAATGCATCTTGAGGCAGGACTGTCTGAAAATTTTGAAGAATTTAGGCGCTTTTGGAGGATTTTGGAGGATTGAGGATGGTTCTTAGCAAAGAGGCCTAGGGGGTTAGGGCTAGTTCAGATGTACGTGTACACTGTACATAGTATGTAAACAATCTTAGCTATTTCAACAAATATATATTTTGTGATTTCACAATATCTACCTCTCGATTTTTCAATTGTATTTTCTTTGTAACAAACAGCATTCTCTGCTATTTGGTATTCATATGAATTTGGCAAGGAAAACAAAAATTATAGCTACATGTACATACAAGTACTTAAAAAGGATAAGTTTGTAAGAACATCACCATAGTGTATTTGTTGTGATTGGTTTAAAATAAATATTTGAAGTCTGTCAAAATCAATGATAATACATGTATATGCAATTTTTACATTGATCTCCCCCTTTTAATTATTTTGCAAATAGGCTTTCTGTTGGCAACAAACTACCAGCACAATATTTGCTAGTATCGTTTTTATATGGTACAGTGTACAATGCATTGTACCTGTACATTTACATCCTCACAAGAATACATCTTGGCCCATGCTTGACCGATGCTTGACCCATGCTTGACCCAACAAGAGCAGAATTAAAAGTGTGTACATGTACAGTGTATACGCATTCTGAAATTTGTATCCCTTGTGGAGACATTACTTTGTTCTCATGTAGTAAAGTTTTTGAGTTTGAAAGTGTGGTTTCAAACCGCTCTTATAGGCCTATTAACCAGAATTAATTTCCTTCGCTGAAATTCGGACTTAATATCCCTTTTCTAAAACTCTTCCATTTGCGACAAATCAACCCACCTTGGAAATTCCTACTTTTTGAGTAAAATCTAGAATCTTTTTTGTAAAAACCTTGTGGAGACGTACATGTAGTCATCTATATAGAAATTGCCCTGTGGAGACGTATACAATCTTTTGTTCCCTATTGTGTGCATGTCTCCAGAGGGCACGGTGTATTAGATCATGTACATTGTACATGTACTGCATACAATGTATGACGCATTAGATTTGCATGTTCATTAGCAGTGATCCTAGTTCACAGTGTAATTAGGAAGTGCAGTTTGTTATTCAGTTGAACCAAGGTGTTGATTTGGTCAGATCAGTTTCAGTGTCCGTACTTACCGATACGTTGTATATTTTACATTACGCATGATGTACAGTGTATAGAGCTAGTACACACAAAATATATACATGAACACATTTGTTAATTACTATTTAAGTATGCATGGATTAGGCTTGTGCGGTGTTGTATCGTGAGAGTCCACGGTATACCGTCACAAAAATATCGCGGTAGTTGATATTATTAGGTACTTTTTTGGGCTGGCTCTTATGTTGTCAAAATACAACACGGTGATAGGGAAACTGCAAACAGGCAGGATGGGCAGAACTTCAAAGGTTCTGCTGGACAACTAAATAAGCACAAGTTTTATCTTATCTAGATACCGGTACCTTGACAAGGCATCTAAACAATAAAAATCCATATAGTGCAGACTTGGACTGTTTCTGTCACTTGTTTAAAGGGATTTTGCACACATCTGACGACATTAAAGATGGTAAATTGCAGTAAAGAAATTCCATACTGAGGTTGTCGGTATTTCCGTATTTTGGACATCATTTGGTAGGCCCTAGGCTATTGTTCAGTATGTAGGCTGTGATGCCTGCCCGCTTCACTGTCGAGCAACCAAAACACACTTGCTTGTTTTGCATACGCTATGTGGACATTCCTTTGTTTTCGTGTAGTTAAGAATCTCGGTACAAAAAATAACTTTACTTAAACTGGGAAAACTCTTTCAAACCCCAATTTTTCTTTTTTGATTTCCTTGAATGTTTCTCTTCATTCTGCGACGGTATAACCCTAACCCGAAAATGCCTCTAAACCTGTTTTCCAGAGAGGGCGAATAATTATTATGTGGACACGGCTTAGTCCACATAACGTTAACACAACCTGCATTATGTGGACATCTTTTTTTCACATGCCCACGTAGTGACTGTAAGACAAACTGACACACATTCCTTTCTTCTTTATAGTATAGCGATGATTTAGAGTTTCGGATTTGCATACGCGTAATGTACACATGTTCATGTGTGTAACATCTTAACAATTTGTTGAGGAAAAGCTGAAGTGGAGATTCCATGTGCATGTTCCAGTGGATGGTAACTCTGTCCAATTTTCTCGCCTTACAGGAATTCGGAGAAGAGGAAGTTGAAATCGCGCAATGCAGCCCGGACCAGACGCGAGAATGAAACGGCCATCTTCTATGAGCTCGCCCATCAGTTGCCCATGCCACACAGCATGTGCGCTCAGCTGGACAAAGCTGGCATCATGCGACTGCTCCTCAGCTACCTCAGGATCCAACATTTCACACCGAAAGGTAAGACTAAAAACGAAACAGAGATCACGTGACGAGTCACATGATGTTTCCACTCTTTCTTCTCTGGGTATCACACATTGGAAAAGAAGGACCCAAACATTTAAGAATTTGAAGTCCGAACATTTGTCATGAAATATTGTCCTGTGCACATGTTCTTGCTTGCACATGTACATTTACAGTTTACTAGTACTGAGTGTACATGTCCCACAACTTGCGAGAGAAAACTGTGCCGTGACAAGCGTAGTGCTTCCCGTAGCCTAGATGTATGAATGTACTTGTCAAGTTTAAAATTCACGATACCTTGTCATCAATAAAGCCACACCAAAAAAATAGTTCTGCTTCCGATTACATGGCATTTGAAAATAGGGTAGGTAGGTAGGGAAATTAATTTTTTTTTTGGCAATTTTTTGGTTACATACGTTCATATGGAGATGTCTGTAACTTTACGTGTAGTAAAGGGTGAAAGGTAGTAATTGATGGTTTTCATGTATTTTTCCCTCTTTTTTCCCCAAAAAAAATAGGGTAGGGCTGTCAAAAAAGGGTTGGTAGGGTAACCGGAAGCAGAACTATTTTTTTTTTTGCCTTAACAATGATCTTAATTTAGACATCAGTAACAGACCCTACATGTACACGTACGTATGCATTAAGGCGGATTTGGAGGGCACTGGTTTTGTCTTGCTTGGATAGGCAGGAGTTGCCTTTTTGTGTGTTAATTATTACTACATGTACATTTAAATAAAGAAAACCCTCAATAGATTTCTCCAATGCATAAGGTCTATCAGAAGGCATACAGGAAACACATTTAGAATTTTGTTGTATTTGTTTTGAATAGCACACCATGCTCTTCATTCCCCACCCCCCACCCCTCCTTTGTGTGTGAAATATTTGCCAATTGATGTTCATAAAGTGTAATATTTATGGTAGCATTTGGAGAACAATCAACATTGTTACAGTTTATAAGATTCCAAGTAAACAAATACATGTACGTACATGTACCTAGTACTGTATGCAGGATACATAAATGTATAGCTCACTGGTGTGTGTACGTGTGCATAATACAATGTACATCTTTATTTTCAGGAAATTGTGATTTATGGACGTGAACATGTAGTTATTGCAACATTGTGACCCGACCGAACTCATGACCTGACACTGAAATAATGTGCCCTCCGCTGCGCTGCACTTATGCCCTCAATTTAATTGCTTTAAAATGTGTCAATGTATGCAACTACAATTTATGTAGTCATCTTCTCTTTTGTAATTTGGTAATTGTAAATGATATCCAAATTTTGCAAAGTCCATCGGTACGGTATATATTGAAAACAGATTTGTGTTATCTTTTCCAGGAAATAAAATTTGTTTTAATGATTTCCACCTGTAACGAACATGAAATGATCTCCATTGGTACTTATGAAGTACATGTGTACATGTACATGTACGTACAATAGTTTAAGATAACATTCAACATTTGCTTTTGCTGTAATTTTCAGAAATGAATGGATTTGTGGGTTAGTATTTTACAGCAATTATTGTTTCATACATGCTGGAAAACAAAGGGAAAAAATGCTGCTCTTGTAGTCTGGTTCCCTGAACCTACATGTACATTAGACGAAACAGAGCAATTTATCGGAGAATTGTTAGTTGAGGGAACTAGACTAGCTGGCTTGCACCTGTTCACGGATGTGTAACTGATTGCAAACAAAATGTGGACTAACTAAATTTGGTAAATGGGGGGCATACAGTATTTGAAAAAGTCAGTATTTTTCCATTGATGGTCGGCCGTTCATTGTTGGAAATTGATACAAAAATTCAACTTTTTCTTGAAAATGACATCACACCAGGTGCCATGATTTCACAGGATGCTTGAGACTATTATTCACTTACAGTCCAGTAAGGTACCGGTATTTCATAATAAGTTGGTAGGTTTGTTTTTTATGTTTGCAAATGTTGTATGACCTTTTTTAGAATTGGTCAAATTATATTTTTACATGTACATCTATGTACTTGTACAGTTTCTGACATTCATGGATATTTACTTCCAAACGAGCCTGAATAAATCTAGAATCCATCAGATGTAGGCAGGTAAATGTTTGCGTCGTTATCATTTTCGTTCTCACGCAAGTATGCGATGTGAAAACAGACGTGATCCATACGGACCTTGTAACGAAAATAGTTAGTATTTATAAGTAAAATCCGTTTTTAACCATTTCCAAGTGATTTCTGATCTATTCTGAGGCAATCTTGTCAGTGTTGTAAATAAAGAGATCTAATAATGTAATCCTTTTGAACAGTTGATAAAATTATACACAAATTGACACAGGTTTGCTTTCTGAATTTAATGATTTATTTATTCCTGCCCTTTCATCTTTGCCATATCACAATAATTTGTTGACTCGCCAGCCGGGCTACTTAAGGAATAGTTGGAATAGTTTGACTAGCCCTCCGCTGTTTTGACTAGCATTTGGCTAGCGGGCTACCGCTAATTTCAAACCCTGGGAACCTGCAGGATTCACTGGGGTGAGGCTTAGTATAAATGAGACTTGGCCATATCCACAATTTTTGGAATCGATTCCGATTCTGTCTGGGAATCGTGATTCCATTCGGATTCAATTCCAAATTTCCCAGGCAAAATTTTGGGGAAAAACCTCCATACTATAAAGAGTCTACGTGAAAAGTGTACATGTATAATTATTTAATGGACAGCCAAGAGCATGTGCTATACTGCATACACATGAACTTGCATGTCAACTTGTGACCACTGCATCTTGTTTTTTTAACCTTGACATTTACAATAATATTTGCCGTGACTGTCTTACTATCTCAACAGCGATCAAGTCTGAACCGGTGGACGTCGATGAAGACCTACCGCTCACGGCCGAGCAGCTCATCGATAACTACTACCTCAAGGCTCTGGACGGCTTTGCCATGATGCTGTCACAAGAGGGCGACGTCATCTTCATCTCCGAAAACGTCTCGCATTACATGGGTCTCAAACAGGTATGGGATTGATATTTACGAATTAGGCCAAGTAAAAAAAAAAAAACCAATTTCTCATCCCTGCCTGCTTCCTTTTTCCCGCGCACCTTGTTTTTTGGGGTTTTTTTTTCTTCATACATTTGCAATATATTTTGCAAATATTATCAATATATATTGTCCTTTTTGTTTGTTTCCAACAAAATTGTAGCTATGTAGAAAGGTTGACGGCTCCATTGGTCACAATTTTGTATCGGCAAAAGAGTGAAGAGAATGGAAGAATCCATCTGCCATCTTTGAGGGGGGGGGAAGGGGGGGAAGGGGGGTGGCCTCTTTCATTTTTTTTTTAAGCTGGGACGAGAAACTTTTTTCTTTTTTTTTACTTGGCCTAAGTGTAGAAATTGATAATTCTTAACTATTTGACAAGTTTTGAAAGTCCTACATAGCATTCTGTTAACCCTAACTCCCTAGCTTGATTTACTAGCAACCCTACCCATCCTGGCAAATTCCAACACCATATGGGAAACTGCAGTCACATATTTCTGACTTTCTGGAGGTGTGCCAACCCAATGTAAAAGACTAGGGGTACTGTACCCATCCTGACAGATTCCAACAAAATATGCCGTTGGGGTTTGATGGGTTGAGTTCTGTTTGGGTTAACATTGGGTTTTGTTGTAAGTTTATAAGTGTAAGCACTGTAGACTCAGTTCCATCCGATAAATTGTGAGAATGTATTAGGTACCAATAGAAAATGGTGCGCATAAAGGATACATGTGTGTGGCTCGGAAGTGGCAATGTACATAATGTATATCTTACATCAAAATATTGAAATGTATTAAGTCTGGTGAAATTATCATACAAAATGGTGATGTCATAGTCAACTTTTCCCTAGCTGTATACGTATCCTGTACACGTACAATTTGTAATGGCACCTATTCAGGGGGATTTTCTGTTTTTTTTGCTGAGTCTGTTTTGAGGGGCAATAAAAAATGTGAAGACTTGTGAAGAGAGCTTTTTTCTCATAGTGGAAGTTACTGAACCTTAAGTTTCATTTGTGTAAAGAATTAATTACTGCGTTGTATGAAAACAAACATGGACCAATCGCCTACAGTATTTCAAGCAAAGTTTAAAATCTACATGGCCTCGTCCTGTTGCCCTGGAAGTCATTACCCTTTGTGGTTTCCAGTGATTGAGGATATCATGTGCCCAATGCGGAAAATCTTTTTCACCATGCTGAACATGTACAATGAACCTGTTTATACGATTTCAAGATCTGAAATCTGAACGTACAGTATACATTTGTACATATATCTAGGTATATGTAAAGTGTACGTTTATACTCAAAATTAAGGTATTCATGTATGTTAATATGACGTACATATTTGTACACACAATGCGGTCAATAACCTACCTGGCTTTTTGCCAAGAGCTTTGTGTCAATTGATGAGCAAAGCATATGGGGAAAATAACATGGGCCGTTGAACCTGAAATGACATGAATGACTAGAATGTGAATAGTATTGCACAATTGGGTTCAAAACCACCAAAAGCTAGATATCGTATTGTGGACATTCTGAGAAAGGGACTACATGTATCAACATGAAACCTATACTTTTGTCCTTAAAAGTTTCCGGGACATGCTGGAAAAATCACTTTTTATCAACCGGACATGTTAAAAAATGACGTCAGCTACAGCAAATGCACTCTGCAAAGTATAGTGTACATGTACATGTATGTGCATGCATATGGTACATGCACATGACATGTTTGTTTTTGTACATATGTACATGTACATGTACATGTATTGATAAAAACATGTCATGTGCAATACATGTATTAATGGACTTCCATGTAAAAGTTTCCTTACATGTACAACTCACTTTGAAAACTCTTTTATAGGCCCTACTACATGTGTTACATGTACTTGTGGTGATTAATATTTTCTTTAATTATTTGTTTCTGTCAAATGTATGTACATAGATGGCAAAATGGGGCTGTTAACATAATAGGGCTGTTTGTTTCCAAAAAAGCGGACTTTGAATCGACCCATTTCAAACTACAGGTTACAGGCTTTTGTGTCTGGGCCTTTTTATCTAGAATGTCCTCCAAACTGTGCGGTGATGCATATCTGTGTATTACGGTGTGTGTACAAGTACCCATAGTATTTAGTGCATTTTGGGTTCATGTAGAGTATTCTGGAAGTTGACAAGGAAAAACTCTTTCCCTTGTCAACAATTTGACCTTAACAAAGGACGTGTCTGATCGTTTGATGTTTGAACGCAGGCATTGAATTTTCCTCGGATCAGCTGATTTCTTCCTTTTTAACTGCTCTTGTATGCTATCAAAACTTGAAAAACACTGCAGTGAGTTTTGTAAAGTTTAGGAATTTTTTTTTTTTTTTTTTTAGTGACTTGTGAACACGAAGTATACAATTATGAGAATAGTCCATGTTCAGTACATGTCTACTGTTAAAGTAGCGTTTCCCGTGTTCTTGAACAAATTCAATTTATTTGTCTGTTAATTAAGTTTTCACAGGTATATTTTATTCCAACCAAAAGTCTCCTTTTTTTCTTCCTCTGTTTTGGACATCTGCAAACCTCTGGGGAAAAAAGGGTTTTGTTTTGGGCACAAACAGATCCATTTTCTGACATGTCTGAGCTGACTGGCTCCCGGTCCATACCGGTACATTGTTGATACTGATTGTGGGGCAGGAACCAGCCTACCCCACCAGAACAGAATTATTGTCTGGCAGCCAATAATTCAAAATTGTAAAGTAAAAATTCAATAACTAAACTTGGGCAAATTTCTTTTTGGTTGATGTCTCATTCAAAAGTGAATAATTTTTTTATTGCTAGCTAGAAATAGCAACTTCGAAAAGGAATCTAGTTTTTGGGGATGCAAGTCCAAAAAAGCACGGGGAAGGCCACATTAATGGCATGAAATTCCCTGTTGTGGGTCAAACTTTTTATCATAGTTATCGGTAGTTTTAATTTATGATAAAATGCCTTTTTCACTGTCATGATTTTTTTCCCCGTGAAATGTAAAATCAGTATTGAAATATCACATTTATCATTGCACCTCAAAACTTGCACAGACTCAATTTTTTTTCCTCAAATGGAAAGCTAGAAACTGTATAGAAAATCTGTGTAAGGCCAAAAAAAAAAAATATTCGGTCTCTGGTCAGACCAAAGTTCCGGAATTGACGCGGCCACGCGGCTTTTTTTTTTTTTTTTGCTTTTTTTTTTTTTTTCTTCAAGCTTGGATTGTACAGACAAGGTGGGTACTATTTTGCTTTTTTGGTGTCCTCATGTACATTGGTGTCCTCCATAATTTGCCTTGGTGCTTTCGATCATTTGCCTTGGTGCAATTTCCCATTCCTTGGTGCTCTTTGGTAAAAAAAAATTGAGGTGCGGAAATAGAGGGCGCTGTTGGAGCTACCGCGGAACATTTTGGAAAAAAAAAAGATCGACGAGCATGATTAAAATCGACGCGTGCGCTGACCAGAGACCGACTTATTTTTTTTTTTGGCCTAATTCATGTATTTGTTGACTTATTTATCTCTCTTTGACAGATTGACTTGATCGGGCAGAGCATCTACGATTTCTCCCATCCCTGTGACCATGAGGAGATCAGGGAGCATCTCGCCGACCACCACTGGATGGGCCAGGCCAACGGCAGCAAGACCGTCAAACGACAACAGCGGGAGAAGCACCGGTTCCTGATGCGCATGAAGTGCACGCTGACGGCCAAGGGAAAGATCGTCACCCTGAAGGCTGCCACATACAAGGTCCGATACCTCAAGATAATTCATTACTAGCACTACTTTATTAGAAAAGCCAGGTTATTTGCAGCTTTGCTGATATTGCTGGCAACATGACTTTGGGCGTAATCCAATGACTTTGGGTGTTATCCCTTGGTACATGGTATACATGGGTTGATGGCTTCTGACTTGCGCCCTTGAACAAATACATCAATTGGCAAAACGGGGAACTGCCAACATTGGGCTGGATAGCTCAGTTGGCGAGTGTTGGAACGATGATCCGATAGCGGTAGCGGGTTCAAACCCTACTTCATACAATTCCTTTGATCAACTTCAAAATTAAGCCCTTTTTTTTTTGAAGGATCAACATTTACTAATTGAGGAATTTTTCACGTATGGATTGGAAGATTCAGGCATAAAAATTGCAACCAGATCTTACGAAATGAGGCTTGAGGCCTTTTTTCCCTTTATTAGTTTTTAGAAAGAATATATGTAATCCTAAATTTGGAATGAAGAGTATGGCATTATGTGGGTGAAAATATCAATAGCTGTTGTTGATTTCTGTGGTGCCAGATGGGCGGAGCCTAATACCATTAAATGGGTCTCTTGGGTTCCTGCACAGGGAAATTTTTGAGGATTCAAGACCTACAAAAATGTATTCCTAAAAAAACAAGCCAAGACATTCAGGGCGAATGACTACATGAAGATGATGTTCCATTCTCATTTTTTGTGTTTTGATCTAATGTATTTTGAATACTCAGGTGGTGGATTGCAATGGAATCTGGAAGGCGGCCCCATCCATGATGACCTCCAACGGCTACCCTCTGCCTCAGCTCAGCTGTCTGTCCCTCATCGCTATGCCCATCCACCATCCAGCTAACATAGAGATACCCATGGACAAACAGACTTTCCTTTCCAGGCACAGCATGGACATGAAGTTCACATACTGCGACGACAGGTAAGAAAACAATAAGACTTTTCCGGCAAGCCTAGTAAAACTGGTTTCCAGACCAATTGCCTAAGGGTTCTAGGTAGTCATCCAAGTCAAATTTGTGGGCCAAGGGGAGGCTGGAACAAGTCTAATTCACCGTTGAGAGTCCTGAGAAAAAAATCGGGTATCTGTTAAAGAAACCTAACCCAAAAATTCAAATCTCGGAAGTATCTGTTCAGATTGTTTATAAAAGTTGGTGAGATAATACTACCACATCATTGTGATGGTACGGTCACCAATGAATACAGCTTTCACTCACGCATGGCCGTATGTGCAGCAGGCCGTCTGTTGTGGCACGTACATGTATAAAATCAGCAACAGATCTTTTATTATAAATACCAGTACATTAAATACACATTTGAATCTCATTTTTATTCTTCAAGGCTCAGCATATAAGCCGCCCTGTGTATAAGCCGCAGTAAACATTTTCATGGGCAAAATCAACGTATAAGCCGGGGCTTATATTCCGAAAATTACGGTACATGTCCCATGTCCCATGTCAATGCAGCAATTCATGTATGTACAGTGAGTTTTATAGCTTTATGGTGAAAACTGCAACTTTTGCAGGCGTCACAAACGTGACACCTGTTTTGTTCTTCCATGTAGCCTGGTTATCACTTTGAAAATTCCCCACAAACGGCATTCAAAACATTACTTTTTCATTGTCTGAGGACCTACTGAGTAATTTGAAAAGTTGATTATGGGTACCCGATCCGTCAATCTGGATCCGGTTCCTGACATCAACTGTCCGGTACTCGGGTACCCGGTTCCGCCTTAGGCTGATGTGTAACGCTATAAACTCCGTGCATAAGTACCGTACCCCTCAACAATTACAAGAGATAGTTGGGAGAGACCACTAGAACGGATGTTTAAATGCATTGCTTGGTGTGGGAAGCTCGTGTGTTGACGCAGCTGGTTCAGATAAAGATTCGTTGGGCGTCCCTCGCGAACGAACCAGTGGTAAGAAAGCTGCATCAAGAGGTCTAGGTGAACTTCACATTACACAATACACTGTCAGTGAGAGAACTTTGAAGAAGTCAAAATTTATAGGGTGAATGGTTGTAACCCCTCCTGCCCTCTTAAAAAAATTAAACAATCTCACTAAAATACGTTCATCCTTGAATGTGCATACTGACATCAGGTCGCGACTGTCCCTAGATTTTCGGTCTCTTTTTTTTCTTCTCCTGGTCTCAAGTTTCTAGTGAAATATGATACGTGAGGCACCTGGGCCAGTTCAAGGCTGCTCTTGTTTTTTGGCCCATAAATTCAACATTTACAGGAGCCTGGAAGGATGGTTTCATATGCAGGACATCCTGCTCGGTGGGTGTGCACGTGTTTGTGTGAAGGGTTCACCTGGCTTCAAAGGGCCATTCAAAAACTTTTTTTAATGCAATCCTTGAAAATGCACCTTAATTGTAATAAATTCCATTAAATTCCAATTTTTTTCAAATTTCAAATTTTCATTTTCTGGAGTGACTTGGTGCCTATTTTGTGTGTTATTCATGAGCGAAATTGTGATGTCTTTCAAGGCAGAAACTGCAGTGTTACAACCTCTCAAAGACCAAAAGTTGCCAGATTTTTTTGCTGTGGTAAATTTTCCAATCTTTGCGATTCATTGTTGTTTCGGTACTTGACAGTGAAGTCAATGAGCAAACTACTTGTATGCCTAAAAAAATTAAATGAGCAGTTTTTGTTTGTTTACAATGAACAGAAAACCTCTAAACTGAAGGACTGTGTGCTTTAATGACATCACAATAACAGCATTCTCAGTTGTCGGGCAAAGCATGGAACATTTCTAATTTTTTCCAAAGTGCACTTTACAAAAAAACAAAACAAAACAAAACAAAAGGGAAGTTTCATATTTTTCATACATTTTTCATATCATCTTTTCTCAGGAACAGTGAGACATTAGGCTAGTTTCCTCTCAACCTGACTTTTGGATTTGGATAAGTAAAAACTATCTGATAGAACATAAATTTTCAGCCATTCCATGAAGATGTGCCCCTTTAAACCTCATGTCAAGAACCTTTTGAAGCGGCTGCGTCATGTATTACAGTGCTGACGCCAGAGTCCCTGCCCTTCACACTGCACCTGCTGTGCCATGCTAAACCTCTGAAATGTGAAACATGCAACCAGCAAGGTACATTCTATTTTGACAACAGGACCCTTGAATTGAACAGTTCAACTGGATCAATAGATTGCATAGGCAGCCATGTACACCGTACCTCTCTATGCGGTGTCATATTGGACATGTACTGAATGCTTTGGGATGGGCAGTACCTGCATGTTTCTTCTCAAAGCAAGCTCGGTATTTTTAGAATAATTTTATATTTTTTTTATTTATTCATCAAAGCCAAATACGCTGAATAGAATAAATTTAAGTTTAATTTAGATTTTCAAAATTCACGAATTTTAACTATTTCCGTGTTTAAAATCAAACACAAAATAAAATTTCTTTGTTATATGTTTGTACCAGTTGAGTACAAATACAGTATTTTGGATGAGGTTTATAAAACAATGAAAAGAAAACAAATAGCAAATTAATTATTTTTTTTAAAATTAAGATCTAGCCTTTTCTATTCACATCTGAAATCATAGTTTTAATTAATTTGGAAGGCATGCTGGTTCAGACAGACAATTGTTTTAAGAGCCTTTCTCCCCCCCCCCCAAAAAAACAAAAAAACCCAGAAGTGGCAATTTTTACGGAAGTCATAACTCGTTTTTTCACGGATATAGTTACGGAATCGCAACATCAATTGAAGCAATTCAATTTGGTAGCTCAATAAGATAAATATATGCTGAAGGTGCAGGGTACAAATTTTCGAGAGGACTTTTTTTAGTTTCCCAAAAATACATTTTCTTAGTTTCATTGTTTAAAATCAAATCCTTCTTTTTATTGCAGTAGATGGAATTATTCTTTCTGAGTCATGACTATGGAGTTTTTTTTTAAAGGGAAGTAAAGTCTCAGAACCATTCCTTTGACAACTGACACAGACGCGCCACCGTCAATTTCTGTAAAAATAGTAACAGCAGGATAAAACAAAAAATGGTAAAAAAGAAAATATGTTTGTGCAGATCTCTCTTGCGGCACTGTTTGGAAGCACCAACAACTGGAGATAATTACTTTTATACCTGAAAGGTGTTTCCATATCACATTCCACCTGCTGTTAAATTTAATCAATTTCAGCTTGAGCTGCCCCTTGGATAAAAAGGATTATTGATCACATGCGCCCAGCATTAACAGTCAGGCATGTTCCAATTCAGTGCACATATTATAGCACACTCGCATGCTTCACGCAATTACAGTCTCGAACAAAGTGGAATATAAAATAGGACTTCGTCTACATTTGATAAGAAGCCATAAAACAAGCAGGCAAAGACCTGGGGAAAATAATCAATCTGATTTAAAAACGAATAGAAATCTGTCTGTCCTAATTGCGAGACTTTGCAACTCCAACGGTTAGTTGTTCACTTCCCAATAGGACTTCCAACTACAAAATCTAATTAATGAATTATTTGCAACTCAACAATTATTCAGTTCGTAGGGTAAACTAGTTCCGGTAATCCTGTCGGGATTGAATAATTAGGGAGCGCATCAGTTTGTGGATAAAATCAACCCCAAATAAATGTCTTCTTTTTTTTTTCAGAGTGTTGCAGACGCCTCAAAAGAAACAAGTACTTTTCTTAATTTTAAAGTTGAACAAAGAAATTGACTGGAGTGGGGTTTGAACCTGCGACCTCCGGATTGCCGTTCCGGTGCTCTACCAACTGAGCTACCCAGCTCTATGTTGGTGGTTCCCCAGTTTGTCTATGTCTTTGTTCAAGGGGCGCTAGTCAGAAACCATGAACCCGTGTATGCAGGGTAGCCAGGGATCACACCCAAAGTCACGATGCTAGCAACATATAGGCAGTGCAACAAACCCGGGAAATAGCAAATGGGGATCACAGAATGAAGATGCAGCTTTTTTTTTATTAACAGTTAAAATCCGTTAGGAGAGAAAAATTTAATAGCAAGGACAATACATCCTTAATTGTTTTATTTAATCTTATTTTTTTTCCTAGAATTCAAGAGCTGCTTGGCTATGATCCCGATGACTTGGCGAACCAGTCCTTCTATGATTTCTACCATGCCTTGGACAGTCACACCATCGACAGGTTCCACAAAGATTGTGAGTGTTCTGAGCATAAGCAACTTCTTGGTATCACTAGGCAAAATCTACGGTCAGAAATTCAAAACTTACAATACTTGCCTGACCATATTTTGTACTGAAAGAAAAGTGCATTTGACGGCTTGAAATCAGTTGGGCTTGATCTGTTGTGTCAGATTTCACATCAGTAATATTTGTTGTCAGGCCTACCTGTATATGGTTATAAAAACAAAAAGCCTTCATAGCATCCAGATCACTTGTGTCATTCACTTTTCTTTCAAGTTTAATTTTAGAAAATGCTAAATGGTAGAATCAGGTCTCTTGCCTAAAACGGTTCTCCTACAGTGTGTGTTTTCCAGAAAAAAAACATGTATTGTTGGAAAAAGACGTAGGTAGTGGGCAAATTTGTTGAAATGGATAAAAAAAATATTTTTCAAACTAATTCTCCAGTGGATTCTCTTGCCATATCTAGTTGTGGGTCATTCGTGTTTTGCAGTCCATGAACTTTATGAATACAATTGTACGAGCCGTCAAGGGAAGGTTTGCTGGGCAGTGCCTTTGGTCTTGAGGCTGGTGTTTCTTGCCTGCTTTCACTGATTAGACCCACAGTGTCACATGTAGCCTTAGTCAATTCAGTAGGGTGCTGTGTTTTTCGCCCTATTGAAATGCACTACTTAGCCCACCAACCGACGTTAGACAAATAACGGTAATTCTGTTAAGTGCAAAACACTGTTGGGTTATTCACGCTGCGCTGCCACCGCGCGGCTCACGAGGGAAAAGAAAGCACTCTCGGTGTACTGCCCATTTGCTAATGAGTCCCCTTTTATAGCAGGTTAAATAAAGTCTGTGTATGCTAGCATGCATGGCTTGATGCCCTGTCGTTAATTTGCAGCAATGGGTTTCATATGTGGTGTTTTTTTTCTGTAGAACTAATGAGCAGCATAATAACAGACTGAAAAGCCCTTGTGTGGGTTTTTTTTTTTTTTTAGTAACTCTGCATGGTTAATTGGGGGAGCTTCGGGGCATTGGATAGTCCTGAAGATGAAAAACTAGATTGTGACCCCACCTGGTTTGAGACAAAAATATTGATATTCTGGCAAATAAAACCTAAAAATGAGTAACCTGTTGGCCAGTGTCTTTCAAGTTATAATTAACTTCTTATGTTTTTACAATTGGTCCGGATCGATTGTGTTCACATTTGATTAAAAAATGCAACTATAATGCCCTCAAAATTCCATCTAAATTCACATGGATTAACAAAACAAAACCAAAAATGGTAAGTCATTGTGCAATGAGAATGCAGTTTTGTGTGTGGATATGAACTTTCGTACCATTTTTTTTTCACTGTGAAAAACAGCCTTTTCTGTGGTAACCGCTTGGTAACGCATTGTAACACATATTGTGAATTGTGTTTACAGTTTTCCTTCGTAGAAATTCTGCCAGAAAATTAATTTTCTTGTCTGAAATTCCTGGTTTGTTTTTCTAGTGTTTGCCAAGGGCCAAGCCACCAGTGGACGCTATCGCTTCCTGGCCAAGAAGAGTGGCTTTGCATGGATGGAGACCCAGGCCACGGTCATCTACAACAACAAGACCAACAAGCCACAGTGCGTGGTCTGTGTGAACTACATGATCAGGTACCTAATTGACTCGTACTTAAGTATTTTTTTTTTATCTTGGAGGGCCAGTCCTCTGTAACTTTTCCACTGACTGACTGACTCCCCGACTGTCACTTGTGACTCGGACTGGTTGCAGACTGGTGAGGAGAGCTGGGCAGTGCTGTTGTATAGGATTACCCGTAATGCCAATGAATGGCTTAAATCCGGCCCATTGTGTAGACCAGATACATGAAAAGACTTCCAGTGAATAGACATTCTGAATCAACTCAATAGGATTTTGTGTGCTCTGACTTTGGGTTTTTTATTTAAACCTTTCCTTCGTCTTCGGCTTCGGCTTTGCCTCCGACTTCTGAATCACTGAGAGGCAAACTAAACAAAAATATTCCAACTTTTGGCTTCCTATCAACCGATTGAATGTTTCTGAAGCATAACAGGCGCCAAAATGTAGCTGGAGTTCCAGAAGTTGGGGGTCTAAAATCTCCTTAAGCCGAAGATGAAGCCAAAGCCAGTCATTTCGAAAACGCTGTATGGCTGGTCCAGGACCAGCTTACTAGGCTTGCCTAGTCTCGTTTCTAAAAATGTTGAATCTGGTTTAAGAGCATACAACATCAATCGATTGAGTACTTGTAACGATTCCTTGAACCCTAACTTTCACAACGCAGCGAAATCCTGCAGGTGATTCCAGGATTTTGGATACTTTTTGTTTTTGTTGCGTCATTGTTTTCAGCAAATTCTGCCTCTGAAGTTTAGTTGCTTTGCTTTTTGCCTACAGTCGCTTCAAAATAGACAAAGGCTCAGTAAGCAGAAAATCTTGTGCTTAGCAGCGGCGTGAAATTGGGCCCTGATCTTACCGATACGGTTATTCAATTATTGATTGATTGTTTTGTCCCCTCTTCCAGTGGTGTGGAGAATGAGGACGTAATGCTGTCCACTCACCAGGTTGATGAAGCCATGCAGATGAGCACAGAGAAGACCTTTATGCCTCGGCCAGATGGCATGGATGATGATGAGTTCCCACTCTACCTGACAGGATCCAAGAGTAAGTAGTGCCAGACTGCAGCCAAAGGGCCTTTCACACTATCCAAACATCTCTGTGTTTGACCCCGGGTCCAACACGGAAGTTTCAGGAACCCCTGTCACACTAGCAAGAATCACACACGGCTTCTACCTGGGTCCAGCACTCACATACCTCATACATATTCATGAGCGAGAGCCGAATTCTCACTGGTCCATTCACCATTACCCGAAGCAATCGTGGAACTATCTCCCGGGTGTAGTACGCACGTGTGAACATCGCCCTAGCTACACATGAAAAGATGGCGGCACACGTAAATGTTAATTAGCGTTTTCCCGAGCTCAGTGGATGCTGAACTGGAGAACATTGTGGATAATAAAGATGCCTCCTCTACTAAAAAAGTTGTCCATAATGCAGTACAAACTCTTAGGAGTTACTGTTTTGCAAACAAACTGATTTTTTTCTGAGGTTGAACAATAATATTATTCTGGTGAGCTGGACAAGTTTCTCCAAAGATTTTATTTATTCTATGGATTTTATGTTACGGGAAAATTCGGCAACTGAATATGTATGAGGTATGGTAAAACAAATACAACATGGTTTATTTCTGGTGGATAGTCGATATTAGCTCCCCTCGGTATTGGAAGTTGACAAACTAGTTCCTTCAGCTTCTCCTCGGAAACTAGTTAATCAAGTTCAAATACCTCAGGGAGCTTTTAATATCGACTATCCACCCTCAAACCATGTTATATTTGTTTAATGTAGCGAGCACAGTAGGCATGCTATACAGTTTGAAATGCTCAAAGTACAAATACTGAAAAAGGATCAACTTTGTACCACCTCTGCGGAGTCTATTGTAACCTGTTCTCTTATTATTCCAATGCTAAGTATCCTTCTAGACGATTTGTAGAAGTAATATGATTAGTCTTGTTGCTGGTTTTTGCATATCAAAGACCCACATTCATAGAACAGCTGTTATTGTCATGGGTAACACAGAGATAATCACTTCAAGATGTCTTCAGGCCTCTTGTTCGCAGTATTTTTTTTATTCCGTCCACTTTTCTCCTTCACTTACATTTATTTAATACAAGTCTTTCACTTTTGCCCACTCACACATGCATGCATGGATGTCACAGCAGCTGTTTTTATTATTGGGAGATTATTTCTGCTTCTTTGATGTATCTGGAAAAAAATTGAAGGACTTTGATAACCACAAGAGCTTGAATGCATTTTTATCGGTCAACATTTTCTGACTTGGCCTCGTATGTTCAGAATGCTTGTTCGACCGTGTACATTTGGAGAGGGTCCTTTCCAGTGAATTAAGCCGTGTAGGCACAGAAAGTCCGGAGCATGATTTTAACCCTGCGACCTTTTCAAATAATCTTGTGTGTATTACATTACGTATTCAATGATGTGGACAGCGGTGAAGTCGGATCTGGGTCGAATGTGTCGCGCGTTCCTTGCCTCGGGTGGGATATACATATTTTGGTCTGGAATTTTGGAGTGGTGTGATTATAAGGGGGATTATGTGGTTGAGGGACGGCAGGCCGGCCTGGTGCCGCTTACTGGGCCTGTAGCATTAGAAGCCATTGAAGTTACTGTCCCTGTGCTATTTTTTCAAGTTTTAGCTTGAAAATAGATTCTGTTTTTCATTACATTTGCTATATTTTTCAAGCAGTACAAAAGTTATTCACTTTTGAGTGAGACATTGAACAAAAAATCCGTTGAAATATTTACAATGTACTTTACGAATTTTGAATTATTTGCGGCCTGCAATAATTCAGGCGTAAATTTTTGTGCGTTATCGAAGCACAACAAACCCATAATAAAAGTCTATTTTCAGTGGGTTTAAAACATCCAAAATAGAAAAAAAAGTAGCTTTTTCCAGTTAAATGAAACATACAAATTCAAAATTTGTTTGGAGACAAAATATTGAATGTGTTGAATAGCACGGGTAGACAACTTTAAAAGGAGTGGAAACTGTGGAATAACTTTCCATTACTAATCGTTTTATCCACTTTATCTGTGAAGTTATACTAATGTTTTGAAAACTAAACATATGCCTCTTAAAAGAAACTCAGTATTTTGTCATGCTGCAGATTTGGTTGCCAATAACATCAATATTTTTTTAAGTCAACTGGGGGTCGATCTTTTTTACAGTAAAAATTCACTCATTGCTGTATAAGTTTTCTAAATGCAGTTCAAACTACTGATATGTACATACTGGACAGACTAGCTACTTTCGTTTATTGTGTGGTCCTCAAATCCAACACTACGCTTCAAAGTGTATATTTTGTGTGTTGTTTTTGAGAAAAAAACAAATTGAAACTAAATATATTAGTTTCACCGACTCCCTCCCAATGAAGACACTGTCAAAACAAGTGTGTTTAGTTTCTCAGTCGAGTCTAAACACTGAACACTGTTGAACTGAGCACCTAGTTATGTAATTAATATTGCCATTGGCATCTTGCATGCTACGTCCATCGTTCAACGCATGCCAGTGGTCACCAGTATTGTAGTGGAGTCCAACATGAGTCCGATCACAAGTCTCGGTCACAAATAAATCACAGATCAGTTCACAAGTCTATTCACAAGAAGCACAAGACGAACAATGATCTCAGGACTGGATGACTTGTGATGGACTCATGATGGACTTAACCACTGCACTGGTTGTCACTACACCAACTGACAACATGAACAAACTTTTTGTCGGCTTCCAAAGTTGAGTGAATTCTTTTTTGATTCGTTGTTGCCTCAGGCAGTGTGATGAACCCGGAGGATCTGACTTACTTGGCCCCAACCCCGGGCAGCGCCATGGTCCCCTTGGATTTCCCCAGCCCTCCGGCCAGCATCCCCGAGACTGACCTCATGCAGGAGCCAGAGCCGCTGGACGGACAGCAGGAGTTTACGCCGTTCTTTTCCTTCATTCCCTTGGCTCCTGGCAACAAGGAAAAGCAGTCTAAAGACGGGGGAGTCATGATGAACCAGGTGAGAACAAGGAGAAAATGAGAGATTTAGAGGTAGCGTATCAGGATCAGACCCATGTGGTGGGAGTGTGGCCTAGTGGTTAGGGTTTGTGACTCATGATCAGAAGGTCAGGGGTTTGAATCCAGCTGCCAACTATCAAGTTAGTGTAAAGTTTGAGGACACAAGCATCAGTGTCTCTCCGCTGAATTTCAGTCTTCAACTGTCCAAAACTGCACAAGCCGAGTGCTGCATTTCTAGATGTCTGAAATACATCTTAGTCTTCTTCCTTTGACAGTCTCTTTGGTCGTTTTTTGCTTGTTTTTTGTTTGTGTAGGATTCCTCCCTGCGGAATGTGGCCACCCCTGACTTGATTCTCCCGGACAAGAACTCCCCCATGAGCTCCAGCAAAGATCCACTCTTGCTGGATTGCACCGCAGAGGTAAGTCTGGGACCCCTTTTGTAGTGAAGCATTGATCACTTCTGCCAGCAGTTGCATACTACACAATATCCAAACTCACTTGGGTAGTAGAGGTATCGTCACAAAAACTGGGCTGATCACCTGTCCTTGGCCAAGGGGTTCTTCATGGAACATGATCTGTTACGAGTCCTTCGTGGATGCTTTCAGATTAGGTCTTGCTCTGCCCAGGTGTAATTTTGGGGTATAGCTGCAAGCGACCCTTTTGCCCGTCTTTGTTCCTTATTTTAGAAGCTCTTTAACTTGAGTGGCTTTTTTTGGTGGTTGATTTGATAGTTTCAAAAAAAAAGAGGGAAAGAGAGACCTAATGCTGTTGGAATGCTGCAAATGATCACAGTCAGTTGAAACCTGCTGATGCCTTCAATTTGTAATGCTTTAGCATCATGAGTGAACATTTGAAACAACTTTACACCGCGCTTAACGTTCATTCTGTGTCTATCATAGGCTGGTGGCCAACTCGATGACCTGGCAATGAGGGCGCCCTACATCTCCATGAGTGACGACTTTGACTTCAGCGGGGACAAATTGATGGTGGACACCCAGCTGCCGGAGACCTGGGAGCCCGTGGATCTCTTTGGAAACAATTTGTAAGTGGTCGTATGAAAAAGTCTAAAATTGCAAAAAGGTTGGGGAAAAAAGTCTACTGAAACTTAAAACTGAAATTGTAGATTGTGTCGTTGTATAATGACAGCCCTATGATTTGACTGTATCTTTTCCAAATGGATTACAAAAAACTATATTTTGCTTATGTGCCTATTTTTAAAGGGCCCATGCAATGTAATTTTTTGAATGCTATCCTTGAAAATGCACCTTTGAGTGCCATTTATCCTTATTTTCAATTTTCGTTTTGCCATTTTCAAGGGTATTTTGATGCCTTTTAGGTTTTTATGCTGATGAAAATTTCCATATTCATGAGCAAAACTGTGATGACATTCCGGGCAGAAACCTCAGTGTTACAGCTATTTCAGAACAAAAAGTTGCTACAATTTTGGATATATTGCCGTCATAAATTTTCTTTTCCTTGGTGATTCGTTGTTGTGTAAGTACATGGCAGTAAACCAATGAGCAACCCTTTCTCACAAAATGAGTAAATTTTGGGTTCACAATTTTAATTAAAAAAAACCCTTAACTGAGCGGTGTCTTCCTGAAATGACATCACAGCAACAGCGCCCTCAGTTGTCTGGAAAAGTGTGGAATGTTTAAAGAAGTGTATTTTTCAATAAAATCAACCAAAAAGGGATGTCAAATAGTGTTCATATATTTAAGAGAGGTAGAAAGTTTTTAAAAATATGTTCATAAGAAAAGTCATCGCATGGACCCTTTAAGAATGACCATTTTCTTCTAACGCACAGGAACAGCACTGCCTGCATGGACTCTATGATATCGCCATCCTTCAAAGATCAGCAGCCAGAATTGCTGAGTCCGTCATCTGGCTCCCTGACTTCTGTGGGCAACCCTTACAGTCCACAGTCCCTGTCCCCGTACAGCCCCCAGTCAGTCGGGTCTCCGATTACACCCGTCAACAAGCTGTGCCAGAGCCTGCCCAACCTGTGGTTGTGCCGTGACGACGACTTGGTCGGGCCGACCCCACCACAACAGCAGAAGCAGCAGGGTTACTGGGAGACCAACAAGTCTCCACTGGCAGCTTCTCCTCCGACCCGCTCCCCACTGATCAGCCCAGCTCTCCCCGGCAAGCATCCCCCTAGACCGGAGGTACAGCAAGCTCTGAAGAGGAAACTGGAGACCCGTAACGGCAGCCTGTACAGCAAAATGGCTCGACTGAACGAGGGAGGAAGAGACTCAGGGGGTGGGAACAATCCAGGAGGTGTGGAGCTGGATGCACTGCAGCCTCCAGGTCAGTTGGAGTAGAACTTAAGACAATTGACCTATCGCTGCAGAATCGCGTCAACGCAGCTTGTGAAATGGTGTCCGATTACATGATATACAAAATGGAGGCGGAACACTCAAAATCTGAGACAAACAAAACTTAGTGTACAAAAATTCCATATGGTTGTCTAAGGGGCGTGGCTAACTCGCAAACAGCGATAGGTCAATTCCTGAGTTTATGTTTGTTCTTGTACATAAATTAATCATAGGCACAAACTTAGTTCCATGACTTACTAGCCGTTTCGGCAAGTCTTGTAGTTCTCTAGATATAGGACTTTAAAATATGCACCTTTAAGATGACGCCTTATGACCCATCATGACGCCATCGTGACATTGCTCGTTTGTTTTACCTGTAACACATCCCTGACCAAGTACATACCAAGTTTCAAGCCAATCAGTTATAGTTCTCTAGATATAAGACTTTAAATTATCACCTTTAAGATGACGTCACATGACCCATGAAGATGATGTCACTTGTCTAGGACCATCTTAACCTTAGGGTCTTTGTCTGTGCCTAGTTTAAAGTCAGTAAAATAAAAGTTCATGATCTTTAATTTCTAACCAGGAGGCGGTAAAGAGAGGAGCACTTTACAGTCGCTGTTGTTTCAGCCAGGTGGGAGGAGCATCAACAACCCTTTTGGCCACTCCTTGCTGCTGCAGAAAGTTGCTCAACAGGTAAGAAATTGGGTTGCGTTGTAAAGGATTATACTTTGAAATGTGCAGTTTTCTTTTGAATATGTAACCTGTCACCACAAAATGAGCTTAAAGTCGGAAAATGCAATTTTGCAGTACATTGGAGCAAAGCCAAAATTTGAAGAGTTGGTGATTTTTTTTGTTTCCAGGTGAACCTCAATCTGTTAGTCCTGTTTTACCTTGGTCCGATTTTTTAGTTCTGTCAAACTTCTTTGAAACCTATTTTCATCCTGTTTTATTAGTTGACTGCATTCACTGTAACACAACTGCAGGATATTTCAATGCCATTTTCTCAATCAGGTTTACAACTTCAAGTAAGTTGGTGGTCTATATTTCCGTTACTGAACTCAGTGCCCCTAAACATTATATACCATTGGAAAGCTCTTGTTCTGCAGAATCCAAATAACTAAGTATCTCAATTCTTAAAAAGTCTGAATCTAAGCTCATTTTGTGATGACAGGTCACACATATATATTCAAATGTTTTTGAATTCTTTGACAGACAGTTTTACTAGACAATTACAATTTATATTTCAATGAAGAGAGTGATGAAGAAAGTGTAACTTTAAAATTGACACGTCATAAAATAGATTTCACATGTACAATGAAATAGATTCTTTTGTCTCGAAATGCACGTGTTGTAGTCTTTCATATTTTTTACTCTCATTGAGTGAAGTACTCCTTGGTGAGGAGTGAACCTGAAGGTTTTTGGGGGTTTTGTAAGAAGTTGTAGGCCTTTTTTTTGTGGGAAAATACTGAAAATGATAAACTTTGTTTTCTTATCTTTTTGTCTTAAAACAAGACTATATTTGTGGCATTTGATCACAGGCACAATATTCTGGTCCATTACACCCTGCTCCATGACGCCTTTGCCAAATCATAGCTGTGATAACTGTCCAACATGCGTGCGCCAAATCCGACATACGCGCACATGCCTGACATACGCGCACATGCCTGACATACGCGCACATGCCTGACATACGCGCACATGCCTGACATACGCGCACATGCCTGACATATACGGCTGGAACATGCATTGCAGCAATGAAGAGACGCCCGTGTTGTTGGCGGTGCAGTGGTGGAGCCTTAATGGATCAGTGTATTCCTAGAATGTATTCATGTAGAATTAAAACGGTGGTGTCCTGTTGTGTTTGACAGGTGGTCAACAAACGAGGTGGCGGTGTCAACAACGCGGGCCTGCTGGCCACCATCTCCAGCGGCAAGCAGGAATTGTTCCCCAAATTCCAGACCCAGCCCTCGCCCGGAGAGGACGCGGAGGATTTGCTGGCTGGCGGCTACCTGCCCCTGATTGCTAGGTATGACCTGGATGTCAACACTCCCCTGCAGGCCTCCGCTGGTCTCCTGCAAGGTGAAGAGCTGCTGAGAGCATTGGACGTACCGTGAAGTTAAACGGTACGGCAAGGAATCTAGTCGCTGACGGCTGCACAATGTGATTTTAAAAAAAATCACCCTTGCACCTGTGTACAAAAATTGCTATGTAAATAGAGTGTGTTGGTGACCAACTTGAATCCATATATTTTAGTACTGTACATGAATCAAAGGAAGGAATGTGAGAATGAATGGATGGTGTGCAGCACTACAATTGCACACATTGACTGATATCTAGTTTGAATGTGAAACAAAAACACTCAGTAGATGTGAACCTTGGCACACTTCACAATGTGCACTACTAGACAATTTGCACACATATAATGCATTGTTGATTGCCTGTTGTGAATGCATGTAACTGTATACATTTGTATAACACTTGTGCGCCAGGATGCCATTTTGTTGTATGCCATGTAAATGTGTCAGCACACTACGAATGAGCACCAACGTGCACATTTGAAATGTGTACCAGTGTATACACTGTGAACGCAAAGCTTCACATCTAAACTTTTGATCAAGGTAAACATTCTGACATGTTCAAGCCAGGGATGAGGTGTGTTTCTGCTGATGAGATTATTTCCATGAAATTACTCTTGTATTAAGGTAAGCTTATGATACAAACTATATAGTAGTGTTTAGCCGACTTGACTTACAACGTATATTGTAATAATGAATTGTAATGTACCAGTATGGTACATGTATATGTTTTATCGTTCACCGTGTTATTTGCACAATGATTTTGAAAGAAATGGTTTGAACAATGGTGGGTTTTTTTGGTTGGTGTGTTAAGTGAAGGCAGGAGGGGAACTGTTTATTGTGAGCTGGTTGTGACACAGTAGAGTGATCCGTTGTGGGCCTCTCCCATGCCACACTGCAGGTGCATGCATGTCGGACTTTTGTGCAAGCATGTCGGACTTTTGTGCATGCATGTCAGATACTATTCACGGTTTTCATTAGTCAAAACATCATACAACAGTACTCAATGGATCAATCTACTGACCACAGAGTATGCATTACCATTTTTACAGCCACAAAGTCAAGGCAATGTTTGATTTATGTTTTTGTTGAGGGGGAGGCTCTATTTTAAGATTCTGTTATAAGTTTCTTTGGTGTTGAAATTGGTGTCTTTTGAAGTTTATGGGGGGGTTAAGGCATACTATTAACATTTTAGTAAAAAACAAAGGCAGTGTACGATTTTTGTCAGTGGTTACCTACACATTATCGCACAAAACAGCTTTTTAGAAGTATTTTTAATACGGAAAAAATATAAGGTAAATAAAGTGTAAGACATGTCTTTTCCCCCTTTTTATTCAATTTGTCATTTTATTCAAAGAGAACGATTTTACATTAAGGTTCAATACCTATGTGTACATTCGCTGCCTGCCAGTTTAGTAAAAACAAATTTAATGTTGTGTTTTAATTTGTGCAGAAAAGCACAAACTTTTACCACTGTTAACCCTTAAGTATTTTCATACAAAAAAAAAAGCTTTGTAAATTGCAAATATTTAGAATTTGGTTAAATTTTTTTGTTGATACATATGACTGCCCAAGTTAGGTTGCTTCTTAAAGGTACTGTACACCATTTGCATATGTCATAATTTCATGAAATGGACCGATTAGTGGAGTAGTAATTTTTAAACTAGTCCGAAATTTTTGCGTCAAAAAAATTGCATATTTCACAAATTCCTCATTCAAACATAGCTAAATAAAGTGTTGAGAGCCCCTTTAAGCAGCGTTGAACTATTGACAGCAAATAGCTGTATGAAGTTTGGCCCATGTTATAAACTGTACTACAAACTGTAGTATCTTCCGGAGCCATGCATGGAAAATATTAACGGATGTAGCATTTGAAATTCTTCTTTTTTCTCACAGCAGTGGTTCTGTCCGAACCATCTGATACAAAATTCCTTTTTTCTTGAGATTGCCAGCATACCAGGCACTAAGTCTTAGTAAGATTTCACAGGATGCTTCACATTATTATTATCTACTTACAATCAAATAAGCTATTTCATAATATTTTGACCGTTTCGTTTTGGAATGTCTGCAAATGGTGTACATTGCCTTTATTATATATGCCTTCCTAATACTATGTAGCTGTTTGTACAGCAACAACGAAACGTGGAATACAGTGTTAATTATTATACTAAAAGTGCATGCACAGTATTTGACCACTTGAACACGTTTATACATATTTCTCATCAAAACAATGGCCTACTAATCGTATCTACTCCTTTATTTTAATGAGAAAACAAATTGATTTACACTGTGTTTTATTACAGAAGGGCATTTTTTGTGCGAGTTTAAGGAGAAACCGCTGTTATTAAGTCCAGCTGTCCAGGACACGTGAACATAAATGAAATATTTCAAAGTTGAAATTAAACTCTTTTTAAGATACAATTTTTGAATCTTTTGCGTTCATTTTTGACACTGTTTTGCGTGAATTAACTCAAAGTAGTTGTATGTGGGGGAAAAGCTATTGTATTATTTGAAATTTCCTTGCGTGATATTGTTCAGAAGTTCTGAAAATAAAAACTGGTGTATAAGACCATTTGACTTGTTTTTGGTATTTTGAGAATACTGTGGTTTGTATTGTAAGTAGGAATCCAGTCCCGTACTGCCCTTGATCTGCTATGGCGAAAAAAAAGAGCATAGCTATATAATCGCTGTATAAGTATGTTACCTTTGAAATTGGCTGAAGTATATATATAACCTTTTAAAAAATAAACAGTTGTATTAATATCGCTCCCTTGTGTGGTGCTGAAAGTATATTTGTAACGTTACCTTTATATCGCAGGTGTACTGGATTTGTTGAACGACTACAGTGATAATCTAATGTGATCTAGCTGTAAAATAATGTGATCTAGCTATAAAATTACATGTAATTGTAGCAGGTGTTGCTCAATCACGTAACTAATGGTCTGTATTAAAATACACAAATATGAGAGACTTTTGTAACCCTGTTTCCGTAGAGTTAAGCACAGTAGGAAATTGTGTATGTGCCTGATCTAAACTTACAGTGCAGCACTAAATAGTCTTAAGGCACAACTGACCAATACAACAGGTGTATCACTGTATCTGTTGCCAAGCATCTACCTCAACTCGCCTTGTAGTATTTTGCACACAACACATTTGGCACATTCATTCGCACTTAAAAGGATTGTTCAATTTTCCTTCCTCGCAACATATTCATTAACATAACAAGATTGGTCTGAAGCAATTGTTGTTTTTGAGTTCTCTGGACATGTTGAATATTGTGCCTATAGCAGAGTCATAGCCTGTAAATTTGAAATGCTCAGACAAACAAAAAAGTACTCCAGCTTGGCATGCACTGCATCACATAGCAGTATAGACTATTTTGGCGCCATCCATTGTCGGAGGTGGAACCAGGCTTGAGCAAGTCATGCTTAGGTAGTATGCATGAACTCGCGACTCCTTCAACCAATACGGTTACCAAAATGCATGCGTGCCTCGTCTTTAAAGGCATGCAGCATGCGAACATGGTTCCACCTCATAATGGCTTCTGATCTTGTTCACTGAATTACAGGGCCAGAGTGTGCACATACATGCATGGAGGAAAGTTGAGTGCCATGGTGCAACACGGGGAAACTCTTGACAATATATTCCCATTTTGTGATTCACACACAAAAAGTACACTTGCCACATGATTGTCAAACCAATTTTCTGCTAAAAACAGACGTGCAACAGGGTGTTCACAAAAAGAAGAAGGAACTTCCAATCCTAACAAGACTTTACAGTGTTTTTTCAATTTTTAAGGCAAAAGTGTGGAGTAAAAAACGAGGAAATCAGCTGATTTGAGGAAAAGTTGCACGTTTGTTAAAAAAACATGGCTGATCTGGAAGAGTTACATTTATGCACTCTATCAGTCTGCCTCTGTCTTGTAACATTCAGAACCATTTTGAAAATATATCTTCAACTGGATTGAATAAAACTACCCGTGCATCTTAAGTGCCATAGCTAGACATGTGATGCAGGACAGGCTTACTGCCTGAAAAATGAACTAGTTTAATACAATACAATGCTGTAAATGTAAAAATGCCCACTGTAGCTTGACTGTAACTGAAAACTGTAGCATTGGCTACAAAAGTAGACCAGCAACTTTGTAATATCTGAGTACATACAAGAAGATACTGGGTTAGTGATGGTGAGGGTTCATGACAATGTCCAAAACTCAAGCTTCATCCAACGCTATTGTTCCTGAATCTTTTTGAAGCAATTTTCAGGACCAAGTGCAAAAAAAATCGCATCCGATAAGATGATTTCAGTGTTCTTGTTCCAGAAAACGGAGCTAATTACGCTGAAAGGCCCCGATTCAGTGGCCTAAAAATGTGGAGCTGAAACTGAGATTTGGGGGGGGAAAAAACTTCCCCTAAAAGTGTTGAAGCATGTAGGATAATTTACAATTTTCTGAGAATAGTACCTACTGATTTAATAACAGAAACATTACTCAAAGGGAAGATAGGACTGGTATCAAACAACCTTTGAAATGATTCCATTTGAAATGGTATCATTTGAAGACGACAATTTTTTAAGGTGGTTTCAAAGCACTTTTTTTACGTACACAAACAACGGAATCCAGTTACATTTTCTCCATATTCTCAAAATGTATAGTATCCACTGAGCTGAAAGTTCTACAGGTTAGCTGTTGTGCACGTTACTGAAAATGTTGAGCAATTCTGTTTCTTCAATAGAAAAACAAACTGCACAAAATGCTAACCCAAAGTTCATGTGACAGATATACATGCAGGTGGCTTACGACATGGTTATGGCATAGGGCCATTATTGTGTTTGCCACACAAAGCTACCTTTAATTATAAAAAAAAACTGAACTAAACCAACACTTAATGAGGGCAGAGGGAGTTGATATTAGGCTCTCATTAAGATTAATTCCACTAAATTGTTAACTGATTGTATGAAAATTCCCCTTGCCAGATTGTAAGAATAAGCATTACTTGAAATTATGTGAATTGGCATTCATATTAAATGACACAGGGGGCTCTGTTGAATTGACTGAGTAATGAGTAATGTAGTTATGATACAAGTTGTTTATAGGGTTGTGTTATAAACTCAATAAAACATGGTTGTAAAACAGACTTGTTGAACGCTCCTCATTGTTACAGGGATAGTGCTATAAAATGCTGTAGAATTACCCTTTTTTTTTTTTCCTAGTACCCTTAAATTTGCAATTAGCTAAGTAAGGTATCCTTTGCATTCTCACATAGACCAATTCTTAACCAGGCACTCACATAAACCACTTTTTAACTAGACAATAATACAATTGTGTGCAGTTTGAACAAGTAAGGCAAAGGTTACTTTCCTTGCCTTCCACCGCTGTGACCCGGGATCGAATCCCGCCTGGGCCAACATGTGGATTGGATTTTCAGTCCCTGCCCGATTCCGTGGGTTTTCCCCAGAATACCATTCTGGGGTTTTCCTCCAACCACTAAAACTAGTTTCCTTCCACATCCTCTACCAACGGACCCCACTGGAAATAAGTCGGAAGACTTTCACAGGTTATCCCGGCCAATTGCCGAAAAATTACAAACAAACAAATGATACAAGGTCCATGATAAACAAGGAGAGCAGCTTGGTCTAGGCGATCTCCTAAAAGAAAACGTCGGGCAAATGTTCGGTCCTGGCAATGATCTCAAGACTTTCCATGAAATGTAGTTCATTCGTCTTGGGGATGTATACAGCTTGTATTGCATCTGATTGCTCCAAGATGCCGGGGGGGGGGGGGGGGGGGAAAGCCTAGTGTGTCTTGGCTCTAAGACAAACCCCAGACAAACTAAAGAAGTAGCTGTTAAATCATTATGACATTGTTCAGTGCATCTGGTCTGTTGAAACAACATGTTCTGAGCAAGCACCATGAGCACTTTCGAGCAGATATTGGCGCTCTATAAGACTCTGTTATTTACAAATCCTGCACAATGGAACTGAACAGAAACAGTCAACATCCACCTACATAATCTTCACCTATTCAGATACATGTCAAAAAGTAGGGTATGTTTTTCCACTTCACATGCAAACCAATACCTGAAAAAAATTATCTCATTCGTGGAATCCTGTCATACACGGTTTTGCACTTAAGCTGTGGTTAAAATCCTGACTTTTAATCCGGCAGGATTTGGTTAGAGCTCTGGTGAATCGAGTTGTTCAGTGAACTTTCCATGTCATCAACATGATCATATAATGATAACCTTCCACTTGACCCAGATCTACCAACATGTATGAGTCTGTCCACTGTATTCATTTACACAAGCCGACATGACGTTTTGCACGTACAACCTCCTGTTGAGGAACACTGTAAAAATCTAGCAGTGTTGCAATACGGACAGGAAATGTTGAGAGAAAAAAGATATCTACAGCATGATTACTTTATGGGGTTAAAGAGTCGACCCAACCACAAAGCTTCTCTTCAATGGAAGACATTGTCAACATTTCCTGGAAACACGGATGCCAAATAATGGGAGAAATCAGAGATTTTGTTATAGGTATATATAAAACAATTAGAATTAGCCAAATTTTGGAGTGGTGACAGATATCAAAATCTGGTTGTCCCAATTTTTTTGTTTCAAACCGCATAACGGTTATCTGATTTTAGGTTTTATTTGTAGGTTTTACACGGCAGAATCAAATTTCTCAGTATACCAGTTTGTGGATTTTATTTACAGCAAATATACATCAACAATAAATTACAGCTTTCTCAGACATGAAAACAAAGTCTCATCTAAATCATCTTTCTTGTTCAATTTTTTTGAAACACTTTTGCTATACTTTATAAACAATAAACAATATACGTGTAAACAAAACACGACTGAGCACTTATGCTGGAGTTTAAAAGGCGCAACGATTTCAATGAAGTAAACTGGTCAATAGAAAACATTATAACACACCTCTTGCTAGTTCTTTATCCTGGTTGGCTGAAACACGGTCACGTGACGTTCACTAATATAGGCTAGTGCATGAAATTTGTGTCAGTGTCAACTAGACGCGCGTCAAGACATCGCGCACATGTAGTTTCCGAAGCATAGTGCAGGATCGGGCACTATACTCAAAAATGTTTTGACTGGTTACAGCGCCCTCTCTCAAACTCAATAACTCAATCTAACAAAACTAAAACCGTTCCTTTAATTGTTGAGTTGCTCATAGTTGAAGTGCTTATGAGTTAATTGTTGAACTAAAACAGTTCGATTGTAAAACCCTGAAAAGTTTCTTTTCTTATTTTATATTTTGGACAGAGGTGAGTTATAAAGACGTGTGTACAAAGAGGATACTACGCTGGCCCTCTGTGACCTGCAACCGATTTCACGAAACTGGAGTTACGACGTGTAACACGTCGCAACTCGCGACGCGTCGTATCATCCATTTCACGAAACATTCGATGAGTTGAACACGTCCTAAGCTCCTTGACAATGGCTTAAAACATGTCGCAAGTTACGACGTGTCTAGTGGTCATCGCAAAATAAGAGGAGTCCTTTTTTAGCCAGTTTTATGCCATAAACATTACAAAAACGAGATTATAATTCTGAGGCAATGTGTGTGAAGTTGTAAATAGAAAATGCATTGAATAATTATGAATTATAGCCTGGAATAGTGCAGTTTAACTTTCAAAGTAGCTACACAGTCCACTGAGAGCTTGTTTTCCCCTGAAATTGCATCACACGGCCGCCATTTTTCAAGCGGAGATCCAACGACTCTTTGTTGAATATCAGACGACTATTAACTGTACGCTACTAAATACATAAAACAGTCACCGAGTTGTGCTATAAATACACATACGACGCGTCACACTTACAACTTGTTTTGTGAAATGGATCACAGAACACGTCGCAGCTGCGACGCATCGTAGGGATAAGACGCTGCTATGCATCGTAAGTTACGATGAGTTTCATGAAATAGGGTGCTGCAAAAAACAGCTTGTTCCAAGTTGGAAACGCATGTACAAGTGTGGTGCATTGTGAGCTGTGTTCCTTGAAGGAAGATTCAAAACATGAGGAAAGATTCACCTCCATCAACACGCAAGGGCGGATCCAGGGGGGGCCAAAGGGGGCCATGGCCCCCCCCAAAACGAAACCAATTTTTTTTTTTTTCATGTGACATCGCAATAAAGGCAGGCAATGAGTACACCACCATCTTTTCCTCAAAAAACATTGGTTAAAGTGGTCAGAAATTGCCTCAGATCGCACCACAGAGCATCTAGAATCCAAAAAATTTTCGGGGCCCTTACGGGCCCCGAACCCCACGCCGAAATTTTTTTGACCCACTTTTTGGGGGGACCAAATTTTTTTTTGGCCCCCCCCAAAATTGTGTTCTGGATCCGCCCTTGTCAACACGAGGCCGTCTGCAGCTGATAGACCCTGGGGCCCTTCTTCAGCAGGTAGTTCTGGTTGTTGAGAGAGGCGACGAAGCCTTCAAAGTCAGGCATGCTGATGTTGGCGTCCTGTCAAGAAATAAAGAGTTCATGACGTTAAGGCAAGATACTGAGAATTTTGTCCTTACTTGCAGCAGAAGCTGAATTGTAAAGGAGGCAGATATATATGTGGTAAAACCAAAGGCATGTAAAGGCGCCTTAGGCAGCCGCCATACGATCCATGTCTGATCACGGAGCACAGCCAGATTGAAAGTGTATATTTTTTTGGAGGGAGGAAAACTGGAGAACCTGGAGAAAAACCTTCCTGGCATAGGAGACAATCAACCAACAACTCGAATCACATATTACCCGAGCCGGGAATCAAACCCGGGCCACAATGGCATACCCATGATCTTTTTTTGAAACAAGAAGACGAGGCAAGCTTAGTGAAGCTGGTCTCAGAGTGCACACAATTCCAATTGATTGATTCAGAATGGCTGAAAAGCTATAGTGGTGACATGATGGAAATTTAACATTCACTTTTGCCGTTCACATGGAGACTTGACTTACTGCCTGCACATGTACGAACATTCGGTATAGCGGTGTTCTGTATAGCAACGGTCTACTGTACTTGAATAGGAAATCCTCGTAAAAGCTGGTCCGAGACCAGTCTTCCTCAGAAGTGATAGTCAGTCAGTCAGTCAGTCAGTGAGCCAGTCAAGCACAAAGAGGACACTAGGCTAGCCCTCTGGGACCAGCACAAATCATGAAATAGACAACAAAAGGGAAAACTGGCTAAATTCACTGTTAAGCAACCTCAAACAATCAACATTAATTACTCAACAAACAATGTTAAACGAAGAAATTGATCAAACCGGCAAACTGTACTAGGGATAATTGCAACTAAGCATTGGTAATTTGGGACACCATTTGTAATCATTCAAAAACGAAACTGCTAAAAACAGTATGAACTGTCCTACTTGATTGCAAGTGGATAGGATCGTGCATACTGTCATTGCCTGTGAAATCACTGCGCCTGGTATGCTGTCATTTTCAAGAAAAGAGGAATTACGCCTTGGCTCATTCAGGTTTTTTTCCAATTCTGCCCCCAATTGATGAAATTTAGATTAGTTTACCATCTTTCAATGGATACCTTGCTTTGCGTCAAGAAAAATGATGTTGCATTTTCACACTTTTCTCAAAAAGTACGATATCTACTGTATTAAACCATTGCTATGACGTCACACTATTGTTAAAGTGTGGATTCGAAACTACGAATATCTTACACTGGTCACAAAGTGTGGATTCGGAACGACGAATCTTTAGCAAAGTGTGCATTCGGGATAACGAGTCCACACTTTGAACATGTTGGACAATTGTTCTCCACAATGAGCATTAATACGACCGTTTGCATGAAAACTTTCCTTCCGAATTACCAATGCATCTTCACTGTCAGATTCTCCACCGACACTGCAAAAACTACTTTTTGTCAGAAAGAAATCGTCGTCTGAAGTATCCATGTTGACGGAAGGAGCCTACACACAAAACAACTTGGTTGTACAGGTGTGGCAACACATGCTGAACACACCACAATGCTTGATTACGTATAAGAGCCTCGAAGAACTCCCTTGTAAATTACCCTATTAAATGGCCACGACTCACTGGACTGTTAAATACTTCTTTTGAAGCAATGGTTTAAGTCGGAGAATACACTCGCAAATGTGGATTCTTAATTTACGAATTCACACTTTCTTGTGTATTCTCCTTAACCTACAATTTGACAGGTTAGTTTTTCAATAAACCTGCTTCATATGTTATATTGGCAAAAGTGCATTTTTTTGCAAATGGTGTCCATTATTGAAGTACTTGTGTTGGCTGTATGAGAGTCCATACAGCTAACCACAGGGCAGTCAAGACACTGGAGCTAAAATCCCCTCCCCTAAAAATAAACCTCAGAAAAGCAAATGTAAAACACATAGCCACATCAACTAAGCCTGTCTATTCTAGAGTGTTACCCACCCTTGCTATGTCTCTCATCTGCTGCACTGAGAACAGCGAGTTGTAGGTTTGTTCAGCCACCCTATTCAACACGGCGATGAAGCGTTTGGCCTGAAAAAGATTCAAAGAAAACAAACTTGAACACTTGAAGAAAACTGTCACTCTATATCATGAACGTGAAATTTCTGAACAGAAAAGTGCTAAAAGACAGAAAGTCTGAGACCAGTTCTATAGACTCGTCTTAATCCAAAGTCCACATAGGATTACTAAAATAAAAAATAATACAATAGGAATCAAGTCGAACAGCTAAAGCTATTTTGAATTAGTACTTTGAATAAGTAGGAATATGTGTGTTGGACAAGCAGCTGTGCTAAAAAAAAATTGCATGTGGTCAAAATACGTGGCTTAATACCTTGACAATCTTTACATTACTTTTTGTCCAAATACTTAGATTCCTCAAAAATATAAAAAAGACCAGTTACTCATTTTTACACATTTTTTCAAATGTTAAAATTGAGCATACTTGTCAGACTCAGGGATAAAAAGAACTACACTGCAACACTTGATGGAATTAGAGAATATAAAACTTGTTTTGGCTGTCATTATTGAAAACTTGAAATAACAGAGATTTCAGCATTTTAGGATTCAGGAATTTTCAGGATTTGAAAGTTTGCCATCATACCTTGGAGCGGCTACTCATGCCAGAGCCGTGCTGTGATCGCTGGAAGTCCAGAAACCCAAACTCGTCTGAATAAGTGTCAATCATACTAGCAGAAAACAAAAAACAGAGAAAACATTAATGTAGTTTTCTGAAATTGAATGCTATCATGTTGATACTAAGGGTGTAGCTTCAAGATGTTTAAAGTTATCTAGGGGTGTGCATCCGAACAGGGTACCCGAGTACCCGCCTGCTGATGTCAGGAACCGGTTCCGGATTATGGAATCGGGTACCAGTAACCAAATTACTTCAATAGTAACTTCTCAAACAATGAAAAAGAAAGGTTTTGAATGCCATTTGTGGGGAAATCTTTTGCTTTCATTTAGCAGAGCCAGGATAGGAGACCCAGGGCTGATTAAATTCATCCAACTTTGCTTCTTACTTTTCCTGATGAACATACCAGTAGATCACCTGACCTAAGGGGCCATTCAAAATTTTCGATGTTCTTAAATTTCAAAAAAAAAATCGAAAATGTGGGTGGGTGGGTCAAATTAGTTTATTGAAATTTTTGTTAATCGAAATTCACTTTTTTTCAATTAAAAAGATATTAAATAGCTCTTTTGACTTGCCAATTCAACTCTCTGCGTTCCCTATGATTCGTAAACCCTTTGCCCGTACCATACGGGTACAGTATGCATCCGGTACATGTGCAATGGACTGTGTATACGTCAATCGGAGCACCATATGCATGGGGACCAGTGAAGTTAGACTTAAAGCATGCGTAAAATCAGTGCACCGTACAAATGGAGCGGGATACCAGGTTCATTTTGCCTTAATACACGCCATGAGTGTCGGTTACGAATCGCGTCAACAAAATAAACCTACTTAGGCAACCTGTAAAATTGGGGTGGGTGGGTGGGTCAAAACAATTAGGAAAAAAAATCAAAGTTTAAAAACACTGAAAATGTTGAATGGCCCCTAAGATGCCACATACAATACAACTTTTGCAAAAAGTTAACTTGGGGTTGTACCAATGTACATATCTACCTATGTAAAATGTCAAACGTGAGTGACATTACCGTTACCCGTGGAAAGATGTCAAAGTTAGCGATAAAAACAAAAACGAAACACAAGTTTCCTTTCATATTTGAGGGTACTTTACCAAAGAGCAGTGCTAGGGTTTAAACGCCTCCTTGTTCATGGTAAGGACTTAGCTTGCAACGCAAAGGTTGCAGGCCACTAACTAGGCCCCAATTTCCTGCGGGGGTCAAATCACGATCTGCATGACCTCAAATTCTCTGTTATTTGATGGTTTTGTGGCCAATGCAGTTGAGCATTTTTAAAACGGAAGGGTGGAGGCTCTTCGCAGGACTTTGAGCTTGCATTTTTATGAAATTTGGGTGAAATTAGGCCCCAAAATTGCTCTATTTTCCAATGGAAAGGAAGGATCGTTTTTCAAAATGGCGACAGATCTCAGACCTACTTTTAGGGGTGATGATCTTTGCCTTAAAAATTCCCCCACAAAATCATTGGTTAACCCCCAAAAAAATTGAACAGAAAGCGTAAGATGATACAGGGTGAGTCAAAAAAAGCGGAACCCAAACCCCAAAAATTATATTTCATGTTTAAAAAAATATGTAGCACCAAAAATAATAATGACTGGAAAGCCAATTTCATAAGCTACTTTTGGATGAAAAAATTGCTGAAATTGGTCAATCCCGTTCAAAAAATATCACACTTTAAACACAATGACCCTAAAACCTGTCTCGTCCAAAAAATGCGATTTCAACAATCGTCATCACAATTGTCTTCAAACATCACCAGCGATGAAATCTTAGTTTAAACGTTAACAATATGCAACAAAGTCCTTTTGAAGGCCTGTCTTTTAAAAAAGTAGATTTTATAAATCATATTGTTTGCATAACCAGGGTTGTTAATCAAAATATTGTGTGCTACAGTTGGTGGCAGTTGTTGAAACAAGTATTCTGTGTCATTTTCTTTGTTGTTCCAAACAGTCAAAAACACACAATAAATTGATTTTTTTGGACGAGACAGGTTTTGGGGTCATTGCGTTTAAATGGTGATATTCTTTGAACGGATTGAGCAATTTCAGTAATTTTTTCATCTAAAAGTGGCTTTTGAAATTGGCTTTCCAGTCATCATTATTTTTGGTGCTACTTATTTTTTTAAATACGAAATACATTTTTGAGGGTTTGGGTTCCCCTTTTTTTGACTCACCCTGTATAAGCTTTAATTTGATGTGTGTCTCAAACACCTTGGAGAGCTGTGAGTATTTTTCCTGATTTTTTTTAAGTGAGGGCATTTATCATTGGGTCTATGGCAATTTATTTACTGGTCTGTAACCCCACAGCATGCTGATGTCATGGCATGCATGATGTGCCTGTCATGGCAAGGTCTAGTACCTGAACTTCATGAGTTCTACTACATCCTCGGCATCTTGTTGTTCTGCCTTCTCCCTGAGTTCTAGTCTTGCCCTGGCTTCAGTCAGTCTGACGAGTGATTCCAGTTGTCTGGTGGTGATTGGGGTGCTGTCTCGTCCCTTGTGTTGCCTTCTCAGCTCAAGGTAGAAGTTCTGTATCAAATCCAGTGAAGTGAAATCACTTCCTCGAGTAAGAGTATTAAGCAGATGACGAAAGTAATACATGTAGCAGAACTCATTTGGCTGGTCATGCCCCATTCCCCAATGCCTTTGGTTTGTGGGTATTAGGATCGTCACCGACCTTCCGGTTCAGCCAACAAAAGGGAGCTTAACCCTCCTGCTTATTTAAGAGTCACAGACAGTCAAAATTTCCATCCACTTCCCTTGCTATACTTTTAACAAAGGCTAGTCACCAGCAGTCAGATCATATGTCAAGCAAGCACTGTGACTAGTCAAACTCAGTCAACAGACCATGAACAGACCAAGCAGGCAAGTTGTGGGCACAGCTGGCTTATCAATCACCCCCAGTCAAAGCAAAGCTGTATCAAGTTACATAAACAGTCACAGCCAGTCAAACCTGCTTTATGAAGGCTGAGAGCTCTTAACTGTTCGATACAGTGGATTGATTTTGACTGAAAGGACTACTTGGCACAGAATGTATGTTGCACAGGAGGTTTAATTGACAGAATTCGTTTTTGAAATGGAATTGAGCATTTTGGAAAGAAGCTAAAAACTTGAAAACTAATACACATTTTCAGTTCCAATCGTAATGTACCGCTTGAGGCACAATTGTTCACTTAAATTTGCAGCTAACTTGTTTTCACAGAAACCTTTGTCCACAATTATTTTTAGTTAAAGGATCATTTGCATTTAAGATCGGACTGGTACTAAACACCCCGGCCCGTGAAACTGTTCCATCTGACTAGCTGTCATTTAGAAGAAATCAAAAAATGTGGGTGATTTCCAACGATCAGTCAAGTGACTGATTTTTGGAAATAAAGAGTGCTATGGACAAAATCTCGTTGTACATGGTTTTTCAGTTTTTCTGAAACTGTAATATCCACTGAGCTGAAAGTTCAACAGGTTAAGTTTGAACGCTCTTCTTTGGATTTTGAGTGGTGTTCTATTGGAAACAAACAAAATGCATGAAAAGGAAATGATCCTAATATATCTTTAACATCTACTTGATGACACACGAAGGGTGAAGTGGCAAATAAGTTGTTTTAACTTGTATGGTTGAAACAGAATTTATGATTATTTTGAAATGGAAATTAACTAATTGTAAACAGAATTTCAGTGATCCTTCATTAGAATAGAAAAATCTTGTTTAGTGTAGGATGGTTTCATACAACATGAATAAGACAAATTGTTTGTGCTTTGGTATCATTATGCAGCGTATCCAAAAATACTTGCAACATTTTTTTAAGCGCGGCTCTAGCGTCAGCGCGGAAACACGTATCACCATTATTTTTATATCATTTTAAAGCTTGGAATCTCAACTTTATCCCTGGTAAGTATTGGTTTGATTTTCAAAAGGGTTTTGAAAAGATTCGTGTTCAAATAAGAGCATGTCAAAAACAAACTCAACCAATTTCGAGGAAAATCAATCATGCGCATTTTTTTCTAATTCATGCATTCATTCATTATTTATTTACTGTCACAAATATAGAGTGAAATGCTCTGTGATTTTGCGTGCCTAAAAACATTACATATACATATGAAAATACACACAAAAACATCACATGTACACAGTTACAATTACAATTCCAAAGACAGTAAAACAAACAGAAATATACATAATAATTATATCATTAATTCTAAAACAGTATGGCCTATATAAAGTTGCAGCTAATGTGGAAATGCTTCATCATGTTCATGATGTGACGATCTCATTTCCTTTTCTTTTCGATCCACATAGACTACACTTTCAAGTTCAATGTGTTTTTAATAAAAATCAACTGGTTTTTTTAGTTCTTTCAACAGCTTGCTGACTCGAGTTTGCATCTGATGTACCGCATGATTGATTTTTCCTTGAAATCGGTTGAGTTTGTTTTTGACATGCCTTTATTTGAACACGAATAATTCAAAACCCTTTTGAAAATCAAACCAATACTCAGCAGGGATTAAGTTAAGATTCCAAGCTTTAAAATGGTATAAAAATAAGGGCGGTACGTGTTTCCGCGCCGACGCTACAGCCTCGCAAAAAAAGGCGCAGGTATTTTGGGACGCGCTGTAGTGCTTCTTGACTGGATATGAACCGCCCATGCAGTATTCTAATACCCAATGTGTCCCTACCATCTCTTGATCACAAAGCCCATCTACAGTTCATGCATGGAGTCTACATATTACTGCACTGAGCAGTCTCACCATTTCTAAATATTTCCACTCACCTGTAGCACAGTGGCGGCCTCACTGCTCAGTTTTGGGTGGACGTACTTCCTAGCGTAGGCGATGTACTTCCTGATCAGCTGGGGTGGGACCGGATCGAAGGCTTCACCCCGGCCAACCTTGAGACGCTCCGATATAGGCCTGTCTGATTCCCACAGCCTCAGGGCTTGGGTTTGTTCTGGATCGGTGGCCTGAGCGTCCATTGATGAATGGGCGCCTTCTGTAGCTCTGGAAATTATGGGGAAAACAGACAAGTGAAAACTACGCTACAACCAGGGATTTCAACCCCCCCCCCCCAAAAAAAACAAGGAAAGCCTAGTAAGGCTGGTCTTAGGCAACACGAGATTCCATTCAATGGGAGACTATTGAGACTCTTGGTGGCAGCAAACAGACCATGTGCTTCTCAATTGTTGGACTCATTTTGAACATGCGTACATTAGCTACAAAATGACAATTGAAAAGGACCGGATATTCACTGCTAGTCTTCTCATGCTTCTGGTCTACACAATGCGTCTAATTTAGCCCATTCATTGGTGTTATTGGATGATACTATACAACAGCACTGCCCAGCTCTCCTCACCAGTCTACAACCAGTCTATTATTAAGTCTCAAGTGACAGTCGGTCAGTCAGTACGTCAGTCAGTCAGTCAGTGAGATAGGTACAAAAAGGACTATAACAAGTGATCCGCCCACCGCACTTGTCGCCTTTTTCTGTGATCGATCTCTATATGTTTTGTGTTCGTAAAAACAGTGATATTTTGTGCAGTTTTAAACAACGACCTCAAATGACCCCGAGGTGACCTTTGACCTCCAATTTCGGAAGAGATGTGATGAACACCCACCCAAGGATCACTCCATCCCAAGTTATATTAAAATCCATGATATTCTATAGACTAAGAAACATTTCAAGCATATTTGAACAATGACCTCTAATGACTCCTACATGACCTTTGACCTCAGTAATCTGATGAAGAATTGTGTCTTTCCACCCAAGGGTCACTGCATCCAAGTTTCATCAAAAACCAGGAAAGCATGTAGAATTTATACATTTTTTTCAAAAACTCAACCTAAACTTTAACTTACATACGGGCCACAGTCATACGGGTCATACATAATTTAGGACTAGTGTTTCCAAAACTTTGTTTGGGCGACACACAAAAACAAATTTCGTACCATTAGTCAAATAAACTTTAACGCAGAATATGTTTAAAAATGATTAAAACATCATAGAAATGATAAAGAAGCCAAATATGATATTTTGAAGTTGTGACCGAGTTTTGACAAATTGGTTGTCATCAACTGTTTGCCTTTTTACTGGTTCTGGGAACAGGCTCGGTTTACCTTGACTTTCAAGCAAATTTTGTTAGTGATGTGATGGAAATCTGTTTCCCTTCAACAGAGCTATTCAGAGCTTTACAAATTACTGTGCCAAGAGGCTCCATTGAATTGGTTCCGATGGCAGCCTAGCTGATGAGACCCATACCTTTTCTTGCCTGCATGGAGGGCCATGACATGCTCCGATAACATAGAATCCATCTCCTCATCAGGTTTGTCCAGGAGAATGAAGACCAGATCAAACCTAGACAAGAGTGCACTGCCCATCCTGAAATCAGACATAAAAATGGTCGTATCAGACATGAAAATGATTGCATCAGACCATTTATACTAAAAAATATACCACGCAAAATTTTAGCCCTCTGGGTTTCTGGAAACCTTATCCAATGGTGTTACTCCACTTCCACCACATTTTAGTGTGTAGGTCGAGCAACATTTCAGTTATGATGCACTTCAGGAAAGTCTTGCAGTGCATCAGTCTATGATTTATATGTAACCCTAATCCCTTTGAGTGATTTACTAGGAAAATTCCTCACTCTTGCAAAAATCCAACACCATTATGGTAAACTCAACACCCAAACTGTTGGACTCTGATTTTGGTGGTATGCCTGACCCCATACAAAGAATAATCAGTTTACTAGAACAGTACCCACCCCAACAGATTCCAACAAAACGTGCAGTTGGATTTTGAAGGGTTGGGGTGGTGAGGGTTAACAGCGTATTTTACACAGTCCTTTTAGGTGGCATAAGTCTTGAGGCGTACAAATACCAATCAGACAATTTGACTATCTTTTCATGCTCGTCACAGAATGAAATACTACTCACTTTAGGTTAATAAACACCGCAAGAACAGAAAGTCCACACTCATTGGAGGGGTCATAAATTTGAATCTGATCGTCTTACGATAAAGTCATTTATACAGACCTTTAGGGAATGTTGTTAGCTACATTTTGATACCCTGTCTGCTACCAAAGACTGTAAATCATCCAAGATTGACAACGGTTAATGAAATATGATGCAGTTTGAAAAGTTGCAAATTTAAAGAGTAGACGAGTGGAAATTGCTGTGTGACAATGTCACACTGCCCGAAACGAATGGCAGGGAATACCGATCGCACAGTGCTTGTATGCATGGGAGCACGCGAATTGAATTAGCAATTTCTCCTCACGTAATCTTTAAATTTGCAAGTTTTCAAACTGCATAATTTTTCATAAACCGTTGTCAATCTTGGACGATTTACAGTCTTTGGTAGCAAACGGGGTAGCAAAATGAAGCTCAAAAAATTCCCCAAAGGTCTATACAAATGACGCTATCATAAGACGATCAGATTCAAAATTATGACCCCTCCAATGAGTGTGGACTGTCTTTTTTTGCGGTGTTTACAAGAAATTCACATTCATAGTTTTGAGGTAAATGAAATGCCACTTTAACAGTGACAGTTTAGACAGTTGTCGTGCGGTTCCAAAGAATGTCAGTACAAAGCCATTTTCAATAAGGCAGGCAGGGGTGAAGCAACAACTGCTTTGTGACTGATGCAAAAATATAAACCTACAACTTCCACAAAAAGCCGTGGCTATCCTAACAAGAAACGTTTCGCGGATACGCCAAGTTTCATAAAAATCAAACGTACATTTATTGCGCAGCTGCGCAACAAATTTGTTGCTTTAATCATGTGCATGGTGCAGGATTGAATAAACTGCTTACTTGAGATTTTCAGACACTGTCTTGGCTTTGTTGTAGTGTCCCCCCACTGGATTGGCAGCAGCCAAGATGGAGGTTCTTGCAGGAAGGCTGCACACCACACCAGCTTTGGCAATGCTGATACTTTGCTGTTCCTGTTCCACAGCATATTAAAAGACAAAACTTCAAGAGTTTATGGCAGCGGGAACTTCATAATTATGAAGAGCAAAGAACAGAACGACTGAAAATTTGTATCACCTTGTTCAAATGAAATTTGACAGTCACATGGCAAAGAGTATGGGAGAAGTTTATGGATAGACCATGTGTAGCGACTATCTAAAAAGAAAACTGTTTCTGAGAAGAGGCAAAGGTGTTTATAATTCTCCTGATGTCTTCAAAGCACACTGATAAGGGCACCGAGTTGAACCTTTTGACAGAAACTCATTTCACATAGTGAATGCACTATGTAAATGGCATCCTAAGTGCTTGACTTAGTATTTATGAACCTTGCAGGCAATGTAAGTTGAGGAAAAACCACTGCAACATCCGAGACCTCATAACTTTCCAACTCTCCATTCACAAGTTCGTTTTAGGGACTGCATCCTATCGCAGATACTGAATCGAGCCAAACGGCACCGTTTAATGGTTATTCATAAATACCTCAGACAGTTTAGCTATTCCTATTGGTCGAGAGCCCGTCACGTGGCCGGTCTTAAACGGATGATAAAGACATGGCTAGCTGGTCTTAAACACTTTTCCAGTGTCACAATAAAATGTGGACTCCTAAAAATCCAGTGCCTCTTACCGTTTCATTGGTTGAACGTTCACAATCCTCACGTAGGCATGCGCAACACTACAAGCGAGTCAGAATTTTATAGTCCTAAATTCAAAACGCAACGCCCCAGGTGCGTTTTGCGTGACATCGCGCAGAACATGTTACGCGCGCGTCAATCTCCATAAAAGGGTTGTTTACATCTTACTCGCCAGCTGAACACTCCATTATTTTGCTAGAGGGATGTTTCAAAAAGCATGAAGTGAACTTGTTGAACAAAATCGGGATTTTTTGAACGAATTATTTGATATTTTTTTACGGATAAGGTATTTATGAATGGGAATAAATATGTGCTCGGTCGGTATTTATCACTCTGTTTAATACCGCTTAGAGTCTGGGTGCTGATAATTACCCTCGCCTCCGGCTCGGGTAATTATCAGCACCCAGACTCTAAGCGGTATTAAACGAGTGATAAAAACCTCCGGAGCACACATTTATTCCCTTATTATTGAGCAGGAAATATAGCCGAAAAAATGCAAAAGATTTTTTTGTAAGGGTGTTTCCAGTGTAGACGTGATATTGCTTGGGTATATATACATTGCGGTTTGCAATTCTTCCTCGGAGTGCTTTTTGTTGTGACTTCTGTCTCTTTGAAATTGATGACAACTCTTTAGCAGAAAATCATGTACTTAGCAGCCCCATCAAAAGTTAATTTACTTCACACTATTCTTTCTTCAAATGAAGTGAAATTTATAAACAGCCACAGATTCTGGTCTGTGCTTACCATAGCTTCTAGTAGAGCCTGGTGCTGATTGCCCATCTTATCAAACTCATCGATACAACAGCAACCTGGCAAGATAATCATAGGACAACCAATCAGCAGGTTTTACAAAACAAAAAAAATCACACAGTCCAATTTCAAAGATAATACAACACTGGCAGTCAACGTTAGTTGAACACTGGTCAGATGTGTCTCGGTTTTCTATCCCAGCGACTTTCATCTTGGCAACACCCTTCTAGAAACTGACTGACACATTCAATAAATCTTAGAGACTCTGTCACAAATTCAGTCTCAAGTCATCACAAGCTATTCAAATGAATTAGACAAAAGCATTCCGTTGTCACTGATCATCCACTCGTGGCCTGACTTTTGATCTCTCTTGTGATTTAACTTGTGACTGACTTGTGACTGACTCAGTTACAAGTCTGGAACTCAGTTACAACTCAACGAACAGGCGAAACCGCATATGTTGAACCCACCAACTGCTACACTTAAACAAAAAGCTGAAGATTCTCTGGCCACATCAGTTTTTGGTTGGTTCTTGGTTGGCTCTTCTCCTAAATACTCCGTGTGGGACTTTTAACAGGAGGCCAGAAACACCAGGGTAAACCCCTTCTCTTAGCGATAAGTGTTACCGGGTTCTTTAATGTGCATTGCATTACACAACACACGGGACCTACGGTTTTACGTCCCATTTGGTTAAGTGCCTTGCTTAAGGGCACAAGTGTCGACCCGGACTCGAACCAACGCCACTGTTGCCTCCGAAACACCAGAGTATGAGTCCGATGCTCTTAACCGCTAGGCCACGACACTCCACTGGAGAACACAGTCTGGAGAACACAATCTTAACCGGTGATGTTAGAAGCAAATGATCTCCAAGCAGACCATCCATGCATTGGATCACGATAGCAAACATTGGACCGGGCACACAATAGCCACAGCCTGCATCAGAGCAGCTGAGGATACAGCGCGTTGGCGACTTCTCAGCACCCTACTGCCGACCCGACCACAGCACCAACTTGACCTGATACATTAAGCCTACCTTGATCTCCAAGCACCAAGGCACCAGCCTCCAGTGCGTAGTCCCCAGACCCTCCTTCTTTGGATAAGGTGACCGTTAAGCCAGAGGTGGTGGTAGTGTTACCACAGACATACACGCCTCGTGGAGCCACGTTAGATGCTGCCTGTAGCATCTGTATAACGAGCATCCAAATATGTAATACGTTACTAGAGAAGCTAATCTAACCCTAATATCTTAACTATGGTATTAGATTATGAAATTTCATTGGCTGAGAGCTGTTCACATGACGTATAGTATCATGGACTCTGCGGAGTACATCACCTCATGGTACCCGGGAACATAACCTTTCATCATTCCAAAAGACCACTGAACATTTTGGTCCCCGCTGATTTGTACAACACAGCTAGAATAGACCCTGCGCACAAAGTAGGTGATGTTACCCAGGGCATGTGCGTGACAATGCAGAACCGCGCATGAATCAACGCAGATGCAAATTTCATCAAAGACCAAAGAATAGGGCTCTTTAATTACAGTAAAATGCATAGCGGTGTCAAAACAGAAAAAAATCAGGTCTTTACGAAACTGATATTTTAATTATCATATTATCACTTCTTAAAACTCAAAACATGTGAGTCCTAGGCTTTGTACAGGCATATAGAACACCATGGACTTCATCACAGCAGGCAACAATTGTACATTGTACACAAAACTTCAGAAAATTTGAAATAAGAAACTTTTATCTCAGTTACACGTGTGAAGTAGTCATCCAATACAAATGGCATACTGCGGATAAACCTTTCCTTCGACTTATCAACGCTATACTATAAAGTGTAAAAGATGTGCCTGTGTGTTCATGAGTTGTTCACGAGCAGTTCATGAGCGACACATGGCGAAGCCACCTCCCCCCGCATAGTGGGCGAGACGATATTTACTGAGATGGCTCTGAACAAAGCTTCTTTGGGAGTCACTTACCTGACTTTTGCCAAGTCCAGGGTCACCGACCACAAGAATATGTGGATCTCCACGTACTGGTATACGGTTCTGTACAATCCAAGAGATTATAACAATACAGAGCCATTTACTCAACCAATTTTACCATCATCGGGGGTGAGATTGGAAGAAAATGAAAAATTCATGAAATAATCAGTAGACGGTTTGGGCCTGCCAAGGACCCCAAAGTAACATAGGGTCTATCTTTGTATTTGCCTAAAGGCATCCCGTAAAATAACCCGTTTCTTTTGTTTTATATACATTTTTACAGGTAAAAACACCTTTATGGTAAAATCTCAGGATTATTCTGAAAGGGATTCTTTACAAATCCTGAAATCAAGAAAAATCTTGAACCTGAAATCTCGCCCCTGCATCATGCAAAGTATATGTATGATAACAAAACAATCTTGAAGCAACCGTAAGCAACTAAGTAAACAGCTCCCACATGTAACTCAGTAAGCTTCAACTACATACAGTTGTATGTCCAATTGTTACTGGTATTTTTAAAAGTTTGTATAAATCGTGCTACCTATTGTCAAAACTATTTCCATACAACAAGTCACCAGCACAATTCTTCTTTTCATTGAATTTTTTTTTTTTTTTCTACTTCAACACTCAGCTGACAGTCAAATTTAAAACTGCACACGAGAGCTATTTAAAATTCAGTGCATACATTAGCACAGAGAACCTCATGACTGTACAGGATGAGTAAAACAAAAAAACACAAATGTCGGGACCATTGTTTTACTGAAGTTCTACATGTAGCACTTTCAAAATCTGGGATGTAAAAGCCCAATTCATAAGCTTTCTTTTAGTACAAGAATCATTCAAATCACTCATGTACTTTTTTAAGTTACGGAATTTTAAACACAACCGCCGTTTTAAAGTTCTGTCCACGGATCACAAAAGGTAAGAGTTCTTTCAGCAAAACGAAAACAAATCACAAAGGGATGTGTGTGTGAATTGTATTCGTACACCTTTTTTGGTGATCCGTGGACAAACTTTAAAACGGTGGCTGTGTTTAAAATTCCGTAACTTAAAAAGCACATGAGTGATTTGAATGATTCTTGTACTAAAAGAAAGCTTATGAATTGGGCTTTCATATCCTAGATTTTGAAAGTGCTACATGCAGAACTTCCCTTAAACAATAGTCCTGACATTTGGGTTTCGCTTTTTATGACTCACCCTGTAGATTTACTGCTTACAAATGAACATTGATACTTTAATTTTCGGTTAAGTTGCGTGAGAGCAGAACCTCTCAACTTTTTTGAGGTAGGACTTGAACCCATGACATCCTGCTTATTAGTGCAGATGTCTAACCACTTGACCGTTAAGCTTTCCAAGGTCAGCTTGCCAGTTTGAATTTAATATAGCAGCCGATATGGTAATTGGTAAACTGGAGGTGAAGGGCAAAACCTTACAATAAAATCTTTACCATGTGGATGCTACATGTTTCACTGCGGGTCATTCCCATTTACTCACCTTGTCATTGACAAACCTATGAGTTCCTCCAAACAAGCCCAAGATCAGACCCGCCTTGACCATTTCATGACCGTAGATGGCTGGACATAGGGACCTGAGGGGGAAAGTCAATGGTGGCATTTATTCAAAATGATGTCAATATCAAGATATTCAAGGGTTTTCAAGTTACATGCCTACAATATACTCATCTCATATTTTTTACGTATAATAAAGTGTGAAAAAAAGTTTGATTATTCATGTAGCTGAAATGCCATTCAGCTTGGAGAACCCCTAGACAGAAACAATGTTTCTTTTGGGCAATCCTTCGGGAGCTGAATGGTATTTTGGGGTGTTTTTGTTTATTTTTGTATCTAAAGCTTTTGTTTTATGTATTCATTGTAACTTTAGTAATTTGTGTACATGTATTTGTTGATTATTCCCGAGACATAAAATAGTATAGTATAGTAGCTAAGCATCTTCAAATGTCTCCCTATTAACTTAAAGATATAGTCCATCATTTGTAATTTGTGCATTTTGTTCGTTTGAAGCAACAAATGTGCTCAAAATCTAATGAAGGGTGCCGAACAACTAACCTGATGAAGTTTCAGCTCAGCTTCAGCTGTGTATTCCGAGAAAAACAGCATTCTAGGATCTGATTTCATATCAAAAGTTGCTGAATGATGTTTTGAATTGGGCCTGAATTCAGCGTCCGATACACGTTCTCACTGAGCCGAATGCAGCTACCGGTACGCGATGTCGCGCACCAATCCAACAAATTATAGCAACCGTGCGCGCGTGTGCGTAGTGCGAACGCTTGCGCGCGCTTCGCCGAATAAAACAAACAAACTACTAACGGAAATTTCTTTCGTTAATTTCTTCAAAATGACAGCTTGCCAGAAAGAATAATTTCACAGGGAGTTTAGTTCCCTTACTATCTTTCAACCAAGCACGTTTTTCAACAATAATTACGTCGGTTACTTTTTGGATAGCTGCAAATGATGGACTATAGCTTTAAAAAAATCCTGGCCTATCTTTTACTATTGGAATAAATATGTGCTTGACAGGTTTTAAACGTACTTGTTTAGAACTGGCTCAGGGGCCTGGGCGTTGATAATGGCCCAAGCCGAAGGCTTTATGTTTTTTAAATACCCCTCTAGCTATGTTATGGTATGTGCCTCATACGAGTTGTCGTAAATATCTTCTTATATGGAGATTGGTACGTGCGTACTGTGCGATGTGGCGCGGAACGCGTCTGTGCAAGTGTAGTGTAAATTTAGGACTCTCGAAATACGGACTCATTGGTAGTACTGCGCATGCCTAAGTGAAGATTGTGAACATTCAACCAATAAAAGGGTTAAAGGAACCATTTCAGAGGAGTCCAAATTTGATATGACACCGGAAAAGTGGTGTTTTATCAACCGTTTAAAACCATCCACGTGACTGGCTCTCGACCAATAGGAATGGGTAAACTGTCTTAGGTATTTATGAATGGAAAAAAAATGGAACAAGACTCCCAGAGCACACATTTCATTCAACTGATTCAGAATGGCTATTCACAAGTCTTTTCATGAATCTGGTCTGCACGTAAAGGTCAGATTTAACCCATTCATTGGTGTTACGGGGTGCTCCTATACAACAGCACTGCTCGGCTCACACAAGTGGCAGTCAGTCAGTGAGTCAGAGTGTCAGTCACTGAGAGGACACTAGGCTGACCCTGTTATGAGATCAGTAAAATATGATATTAGCGGGTACTGTATGGGCTCCGCGCACAAGTACCCCCTCAATGTTACAGAGAGAGAGAGTTTGGAGAGACCACTGGAACGGATGCCCGAACGCAATATCGTTGGCGCTTGACGCTCACGCAAAGATGCAACCACACTCAGATTAAAACTAGTTGGGTATACTTCGTGCCACCATTGCGCGAACCAGTACGCGCGCATGCAGTGTGAATTCCCCCACTGGGGCTTTCCCAAGTGGTAATAAAAGACATCTGCTGTTCGTGCACGGAGCCCATAAGATCTTGGTAACCTGTATACATTCTCTGGTTTGTTGATCAATTTTCAAAAGTATTTGTTTCATTCTGTGCCATGTATGTTTTCGAAATATGTGACCTGTTCTGTCAAAAGCAGACGCTTCTGGGCAGAGGTTGAAATTGAGATAGGGCCAAAAATGCTGTGGGGGGTGATTTTTATCGATTTTCAAATTTTGCATATTTGTAATCCTGAACATGTCTAAAATATATTATAAAAGTTTGAAACCGTAATTTGAATTCTACATATACTATTTTTGATGATTTTGATAAGGTATATCAGTTAAAGAAATAACTGTTTTATGACGTTCATGGCCATTTTCTCTGTTTTCTACTTTTCGACACAATGAACTTTCAAATAGCATAACTCTGCCTAGGAATGACTGGTTTCAAAAATTAAACCACCAATTAAAAGGAAAAAGAACATATGTTAACAATATGTAAAAATATCATTTTCGACCTTATGCCCAGAAAAGTCTGATTTTGACAGAACAGGTCACATATATACAATTATATAACTGTCATACAGATCCTTGTCATTTGATTGGTGGAACTCACATCACGTGAGATCCATTAATGCTCCCATTCACGCCGGGGCTCAAAAAGTCCCATTCGCCCATGGTGAATGGGATTTACTATTCAACAGTTAGGATCATCCTTGTTCCATGGCACGGTATTTGTGTGCAAAATGCATGCTGGTGTGCGCGTTGAGCATTGCGCGTAGCACGTATTGTTCCAAGAGCCAGTTGGGTTCAGACATTCCGTGAAGGGGTGGTTTGAAAGAGAGAAATACATTTCCCACCAATTTTATATTGAAAAAGAAGTTCAAATCAAATGACAAGGATCTATTTGACAGTATTATAAAACAAATATTGAGTGGCTTTAAATTGTAAAATGGGAGAAATATTATCGCTCGGTAAAATCTAGACTTTTCCATCTCATTCGGCTTCGCCTCGTGAAATAAAAAACGTCCAGATTTTTAACCATGCGAAAACATTCCTCCCATTTCACTCTGAGCCACTCAATATTTTTATACTAATTAAGGCCGTACAGCAAATTCTGTTGGTTAAAGCTATCCATCCATGCTTTATAACTTTGTTAAATGTCAGTGTTAGTACCCACCCAACGATGAGACGGAACAGGTTCTTCTGATCCTGTATCTCCTGAATGGCATACAGCTCCTTCAAGGTGAAGTCCATGGCTATTCCCGTGCGAGAGGGGGAGCCTTCACCAGCCGAAGCAGCCTTCTTGCCACGCTTCTGGTTTTGGACCGAGTTGGCGTGCAGGTACAGCAGGAACATGCACTTGTCTTTGTTACGTCCGTGCCCTACAAAAGGGGACAATTATTTTCTTTCACTTCAGCATTCTTTGAGACATAGCAAATTTGGTAAATGAGATTTGAAGGTTTGCATGATGGTGGAAAGATACTAAGACAAGAAAAGTTTGCGGTAGCACCATGTGAATAAATTCTCCTGATGACGGGCAGAGCATACTGTTCAAAAGGTTGAGTCCCTCCGGTTCTTTTCAGAACCACACATACTCACAAAAGAGATTTATTCACATGGTGCTACCGCAAACTTGTCTTAAATTTGGTAAATATGAAGCTGTGTACTGGCATAACAATTTCAATTTCAGTTTTTAAAATTTTGGAAGTAATGAGATGAGGATGTCCTAGCACTGATTGTTTTTAAACTTTTGGACAAAAACTACATTTTTGATGGAATTCTGATTCACAGAATGTAATAAAAATTAATACTGAGATTTGCCCTTCACCAACTTCCACTAGCACCTTTACTACATTGTATTACATTGTATTACATTGTATTTGTTCCCAGATGAATTCATAAAACGTAGTGCTGGGGCGGTTTGGGGTGGTACAGGGAGTAACAGGCAGGGTGGTTTTCGGCAGTACAGGGACCGATGGGTTATGCAATTCCATCAAAACTTGTTGATTGCGGTACCCGCTGCCCACATTGGATGCAAAACCAACCAGCCAACTCCAACGACCTCGTGGTTATTTGGATTATAAAGATGTCTGCGTCTGAAGGAGATCATGGGTTCGAGTCCCACCCAAGCCAGCTTCAATGCACTTATACAGCACAAAGTACTAGGTGTCAAAAAAACATGTCCTACTTTTGATCCTAAATATCTCTGACATTGTTTACCAATGGAATTGAACCAAAATTTCAGATCATGTAAACAAGGCATGACAAATTTTATGGAGCGAGTTTCAAGCTTTGTGCAAGAAGGTGAGATTGAAACGCCATGCGAAAAAAATACTCACTTTCAGAATCTGCCACTTTTGACTTGGCGTCCTCCAATGTCGATACAGCGCTGGAGACAGTGGTGGAAGGCGCGTGCTTCAGTCGAAAACTTCTGAAGGAATGCAGGATCACCCCTGATGTCATTGCACACCTCCTCGATCGGGTGTTGCGCCAAACGATTGAGGTGTGCAATGACATCAGGGGTGATCCTGCATTCCTTCAGAAGCTTTCGGCCACAGCACGCCCCTTCTGCCACTGTCTCCAGTGTTGTATCGACAATCTATAAGTGGGATATTTTTTTTGTATGGCATTTAAATCTCACCCTCTTGCACAAAGCTGATGAAAATTGCTCCATAAAATGTCATACCTTGTTTACATGATCTTAAATTTTGGTTAAATTCCATTCGTAAACAACAGAGTTATATAGGATCAAAAGTGGGGCTATTTTTTTGACACGTAGTATATACAGTCAATATATGAATTATGTCGGTGAAGGACAATATTGAAGCAAACCAAACTGTTTTAGGAGAGACTGTGTGTGTCGATTCGGGCAATTCACAATGCAATGCGCCACCAAGAGTTTGCCATGGAGAGTCAACTTTTCAAGTTTACGGTCGACAAAACATGGCCCATTTGAATAAGTATCAGTAGACAAATTGAGCTAATTTGTTATAGATTGGGGCATAGTGTTCTGCCGCCTTATCAAAAATCACTACATTGATACAAAGAAAAGTAAAGGGCAAACATGTACTCGAATCATATGCTTATGAAACTACTGACCGGAAAAAAACAAACAAATTCAAATGTCCCGCACTGCGAATTGTCGACCGTCTCCCACAATGCACTGGGAAAAATTAACTCTCTGTGGCAAACTCTTGGTGGCGCACTGTATTGTGAATCGCCCGAATTGGACAGCAAGTGTAAACGTATAATGTATTCTAAAAATGCGGTTTTCTATTTGTAAGTCTGGGTTGTTTTATATTAGACACTTCATTCACCATTTATCCTCCAAGGGTATAGATTCTCATACCTTCATCAATATTTGACACTTTGACAACTCCCCCGATGGTGACCACATCTCCAGGAACACAGCAGTCAACTAAATGGGAAAACGGCACCAAAAAAAGAGCAGTCAACAGAATCCCGAACTATGCTGGACTGAGGCCTTACCTCTTCACACAACTCAGCCCTCCAATGGCAGTGAAATTAAAGATGAGGGCACTCTCTGGCGATCATCCAAATCCTAATTTCTATGTGCAAGTTCAGTCATTAATTGTCTATTTATTGTACACAAGCTGCATAACTACGGTCAAATGTCATTCCTGTTACTGTACCCTTATGGAGACACTTTTCGTCACAAGTTATACCTTAGGGAGACACCGGACATTAAGGAGACATTTCAATGTCTCCCTCATGTCACAACTCCTATTTAGAGGCAAAATGTTAATGTTGCAAATAGACTAGATCGATTGCTCATGGTCCAAAAAGTAAATATACCAGAATTCCTGGGGTAGGTGAGGGATTGAAATTGGGGTTAGCTGGGGGTCATTAAAGTTGGAAAAATTTTATGCACAACACTATGGGAATGTCCCCCTAAGGTACCATTCCCCGTAATAATGATCATTATAATAATGGGCTGCTTATGGGCTCCTGCGCCAACGAAAAAGGGGGCCCTTTTACCTACAACGTCCCATGGGTAGGACATTTAGCTGGTTGACGAGCACCGTTCCTTGTGTGTGACGCACGTACACCAGGGGATTTGTACTATGTACGCAGTGGTACAGCCGCGCCTCGCGCGCGGCAAATTGCAGTCAGGCAAGATGGCGTCAGTCTGTCACCCCCAACTGTTCTTGCTTTATACTAATTTCTCAAAGTGCTTCCCAATTATTACCCGTGTTCATCATGCCACAGAACCTGTGTTCTGCAGCAGCACCAGATCAGCACAATAAGTCTCTACACTCACAGGCACCCATCTATACTCCTGAGTGGAGAGAAGCAATTACAGCAAAGTGTCTTGCCAAAGAACACAAGCCACATCTTCCCCTATCCGGGTTCACACCCAGGTATGAGCTCCGTGCGCCAACGAAAGACGGCGCCCTTTTACCAAGCAACCACGTCCCATGGGCGGGACATTTAGCTGGTTGACGTGCACCGTTGCTTGTGTGTGTGACGCACGTACACCAGGGGATTTGCACTTGTACACGCAGTGGTACGGTCACGCGTCGCGGCAAAATTGCAGTCAGGCAAGATGGCGTCAGTCGGTCACCTCCAACTGTACTTTGTTTGCCGGTGAGGGAGTACTTGTAAACGGAGCGGATACTGTAACCATTTGACCATGCACTCAACAATGGAGGAAGGGCAGAGTTAGGGCTTGCGGTTGGGGAGCGGGGGAGGGGGTCTATGGTCAAATTTAGCACTGTACCTAGATCACAGGTGAGTTCACACTCCACGGTGCGAGGGATGCGTCCTGATTCCCTCTGCCCATCCATCATGATCTCCTGTACTTTTATCATTTGCCAGTCCACTGTCTCAGTCAGGGGTGAGCTCTGCTTGGGAGCGAAGGACCGACCACGACAACCCGGGGCAAGACACTGACAATAACAATTCAAAAACTCAGTCACAAATTGATATTTCCTACAAATAACATTCCTTGACCAATTTGACAACATATGGGTATTTTCAACCACAGGGGAGGGGGGGGGGATCTGACAGCTCGTTATTAAGCACAAAACCTTTGGTCTGACTAGGGTTGATGCTATGCTGCAAACATAGTAAGTACATGATCATGTCATTGATTATGGTTAAGATTTCACACACTCATTTACACTAGGCACTGCCGGTTCTCCTTATCTGGTCAAATACTCCTTATCCCCCCCAAAAAAAATTCTACAAAATAAAGAAATTTGCAGTCTATATCCGTTTGTATCAAAACAAATTCCTGAAGAATTACCCTTGTGAAACTTTACCAATTAAACACTAGCACAATTAAATGGCTGCTGAAAATGGTTTTTCTTTTGATCCCTGCAAAGATTCATAAATAAATAAATAAATACAATTATATACTTTGATAAAGGTGCAATCACAGTGAAAGGAGGGCCATTACCTACAATTGTTCTTTAACAAAAAAACCTCCTTAAATCTGAGAAAGTGCTCTCTTAGGATTGACTCTGTCAAAATGATCCTGTAACGATGCATTTCCAATCTTACAGCAACCTAGGACCATTTGCTTTTTATGCCTTTTTTTTTTAGTGAAGCAACAACATCGCTCAACAGGGTGCATAACAGCTAACTTAGCATTTCAACTCAATGGATACTATACACAGGCATGCAACTGGGAAGTCACAAAAAAAAGAGGAAATTCAAATCTTTCCAAGACTTTGTACAGTGTTTTTCGATTTTCAATGGCACACATGGGAAGTAAAAAAAGAGGAAATTATCAGCTGATCCGAGGAAAAGTTGCATGCCTGTATACATTTTGAGAAAACAGAAAAAACCTGTGCACAATTTTGGGGTGTCGTGACCAGATTCCATTGCTAAGGCACGTAAAAAAACTGTGCTCGCAGGCAAAGTTTTATAGACCACCTTCAATGATTGATTTCTCCCAAATGAAATCATTTCAGACGAAATAATTACACAAGGAATTTGGTACCAGTCCTATCTTCACTTTGAGCAAAGATCTTCTCGGCAAATCTATAAAATCGTTTCTGGGGTAATTGCAAATGTTTCTACACGGCTTTAAACTGTGATTTACACCCTAAATCAGCACTTTTCTAAATAACTCAACTTCTTTCACCTTTGTCGGCAAAGTATATTTCCCCTCGGGTAAATTAACGATCTGTAATGTGACAACAAAACAGAGAAATTATGATAAAGATTTTTTTATTGATATGAAAGGTTTCATTAAAATTGAAACATTAGTTGCCAGCAGTTGGCAAGTACAGTGTAAAGGCTAGTTCACATTTAGTGTGAAAGTGAATGCAAATGAGACTATTCGTACACTGCAAATTCAGACAAACACACACATTATAGTTTCAGCCACAAATTGTTGCCACACGTGTTTATGGCAGTTGCATTTGAGGGAAGTACATTGTATGAACCAGCCTCAAAAGAAGATAAGTCAAGTACTAATGGGCCTAATTGGCTCTATGAGTAAAAGTTAGTATAAGGTTCTTATGACACAATTATAGTATACAGGGCGAGTCAAAAATAACGAAACCCAAATGTCGGGACTATTGTTTTAGTGAAGTTCTGCATGTAGCACTTTCAAAATCTAGGATATGAAAGCCCAATTAATAGGCTTTCTTTTAGTACAAGATTCATTCAAATCACTCACATACTTTTCAAGTTACGGAATTTTAAACACAACCACAGGTTTAAAGTTTCGTCCACGGATCACAAGAAGGTAAGTGTTCTTTCAGCAAAACGATAACAAATCACATATTAAGGATGTGTGTGAATTGTTTTCGTTTTGCTGAAAGAACGCACACCTTTCTTTGTGATCCGTGGACAGAACTTTAAAACGGTGGTTGTGTTTAAAACTCCGTAACTTGAAAAGCACATAAGTGATTTGAATGATTCTTGTACTAAAAAAAAGCTTATGAATTGGGCTTTCATATGCTAGATTAATAGATTTTGAAAGTGCTACATGCACAACTTCACTAAAACAATAGTTCCGACATTTGGGTTTCGCTTTTTTTGACTCACCCTGTTTTTCAACACATATGAGCTGCATTACACTTTTGCACAAAGATTAACAGTGAAACAGGTGAACTGCCTATACCCTCAGTGAACGCATGCAACTATTGGCTGTATTAACTACTGCAACTGACTTTGGCTTTTTTATGGGGTTCTTGGAGTTTGGTTTGTAATTAACATACCTGTATGTCTCCACACATATTGCACTGAAACGCCATCTTAGTGCAGAAAGGTTTAATGTTGCTCACTCTGACAACAGTTCCTCTTACTGTGACAAACTTGCCTGGGGGAGAAATACAACCCAAGTCAGTGTTAAAATCAGTTTGTAGTACTTGTACTCGGTACTCGTACTCGAGTACTACTCGAGTACTTTTTTAAGAGTACTCGTACTCGTACTCGAGTGACAAAGTACTCGTACTCGAAATGACGGTACTTGTACTCGGAAAGGAGAGTACTCGTACTCGACATGTGGAAATTGTACTCGATCATCAAAGTACTCGTACTCGAATAGCAGTACTCGAAAACAAAATGGTATTATAGCTTGACTTATGACGGCCTTATTTTATCGATACTTTCAGTTTGAAATGGTTGATTGGCTTGCGGAGATATCGAACTTTCCTCAGTTTCCTCTGTGCACATCAGGACAAACACATTTAACAGCTAGCCATGAGTGGGTCTGTGTATCGGTCTGACTGGGCCTGGGCCAATTACGCACAATGAACCATTTGCCGTATGGCCGTATTCGGAAATACAAGTACTCGTACTCGTACTGGGAAGTACTCATTCTCCCACTCAGAAGTACAAGTACTTGTACTCGTACTTGTCCTCGGTACCCTAAGTACTCCGCAGTATTCGGTACTTGACTACAACACTGTACTTGTCCTCGGTACCCTAAGTACTCCGCAGTATTCGGTACTTGACTACAACACTGGTTAAAATGAGGGTAGATAAGATAAACAACTGCTTCAGTTTCATGGATGTCATTCCTTTTCTTCTTAAGAGATACCTAAGAGGTTTGCACAAAGGTTCTTTCCTTGCCTTCCACCTCTGTGGCCGGGTTCAATTCCTGCCCTGGTCCACATGTGGATAAGGTTTTCAGCCCTTGCTTGATTCCGTGGGTTTCCCCCAGCATATTCTTCTGGGGTTTTCCTCCCACCTCTAAAACTGTACTTTCTTCTCATTGTCTTCTCTCTACAGGTTTCTTCAGGCTTGGGAGCTACAGTGCCTAGGGCACTTTTGAGGAATCCTTGGTTTTATTACCAGAAATAATAAAGAAGAAGAAGAAAAAGAAGAGGTAGAAGAAAATATAAATTTTAATTGGAACTCATTCAGTTTCAGTTGTACGTTGTACAAAGCTAATCTGAAGCCAAATTAACATGTTTTACCTACCGTAGTAATTTGCTTTGAGGTTCTTGAGCGGCGTGACTGGTTCATAATTGACTAATCTGCAAAACAAAAAAAACAAGGATGTTAGTGGGTTGTTACATTTTTTTGCAGAAACTTTAATAAAAAAGAAGTGTGTTTTCTTGCAGTCTATGCCACGTAGCCCATGGCGCTGCTGAACAGTTGGCAGAAAAGTTGTGCTTACTGTGGCAAAAAATTGTGCTTACCTCAAGCACTATTTCATGGCGTGGATGTGTTACATCTGTGCGTACATCGAGATTTTTATTGTTACATCACTGATTTAAGCAACTTTTTCCTTTGAGGTAAGCCTGCCTTTTGCCGTGCTTTACTGCTTACGGTCTTCATGGAATATACAGAGGCTCTGTTAGCAGAACATTTTGTGTTTAGGCCAAAAAATAAAGTCTCCGGTTTCTGGTATGCGCGCGCCTCGCCGTAACCATGCGCGTCGGCAAAATGAAAAAGGTTTTTTTTCAATGAAAGATGATGTCTCAAAACCGCCAAACTCACTGGTTTGACTGGAATCCTGCTGCTGCACTATTTTAACGTGTTTTTAGATTGGGTTATGGTCGAGAATAAGCTTTATGTGGCCTCTCTGGACTCCCATATATTTGCACTAAGTTTAGTCGGGCACCATTTGCAGTCATCAGCCGACATTTGAAGCAAAAAAATCAGGTAAAAAAAAATAAATAGTCGCCTCGCCGCACCACTTTTTTGGCAAGCTCCATACCAGAAGCCGGAGACTTTTTTTTTTTGGCCTTAGCAGCACCATAAAATTGGATCCTGGATTTTCCAGGATTTTTTCTATGACTGTGAGAAACCTGGCTATCTAACAGACCTTGCCCTTATGATTGGTACACTGACGAGGATTGAGGGGACTTCCACCTCCTGCTGTCCTGTCTCTCCCGTAGCTTGCTGTTGGAGCATGGTTGCCTGATGCTCCAGATCGCGGGTCAGTGTCTACAAAAGGAAAAACCACAAATTGGTCTCACAAAAACGTGGCTAGTTGGATAGCACAGTATCGAATACATGTAGCTTAGGATTGTTTGAAGCTCATGGTGAGAACTAATTAAACACACATGTTAAGTCTGCCATAATCAGGATTTTTCAGCATTTTTTTAATTTGGTATGTGTAGTTCTTTATGAACGTCGGAATTCATGCCATCTCAAACACCGGGAAATAAGGATTTTGTCCAAGTCTGAAATGCAATGAACTCGTTTATGGGTAATTTTGAATAGGAATTTCTACAAAATTCTTCTTAGGAACCGATGGTTAGACTTTCTAATGTTGAGGTTTATGCAAGCTTCTAAACATAACTATCATGTCTATCGTGCAAAACCTCACCAATTTATATATCCACTCAGTGTTGTAGTACTCGTACTTGTACTTTTTTCTGTACTCGTATTCATGGAAATGTATTTGTACTCATAGAACTGTACTTGTACTTGTAAGGAAAAATTTCCCTGTACTCATACTCGTACTCATGGCAAGTACTCATACTCCTACTCGTAGCAAAGTACTTGTACTCATGGAAAAGTACTTGTATTCGCACTTGTAGAAAATGTTTGCCTTGTACTCGTACTCATGACAAAGTACTCGTACTCATGACAAAGTACTCGTACTCATGACAAAGTACTCGTACTCATGACAAAGTACTCGTACTCATGACAAAGTACTCGTACTCATGACAAAGTCCTCGTACTCATGACAAAGTACTCGTACTCATGACAAAGTACTCGTACTCATGACAAAGTACTCGTACTCATGACAAAGTACTCGTACTCATGACAAAGTACTCGTACTCATGACAAAGTACTCGTACTCATGACAAAGTACTCGTACTCATGACAAAGTACTCGTACTCATGACAAAGTACTCGTACTCATGACAAAGTACTTGTACTCATGACAAAGTACTCGTACTCGTACTCGTACTCATGGGAAAGTACCCATACTCGTACTCGTTGAAAAGTACTCGACTACAACACTGTCCATAATATACTTACCTCTTCCGGTAAAGTTCTTACATCAATAAACTTGAATAAGATACCTTGTATTTTGTCTATCTACATCAGGTGATTTTTCATTTCAATAATTATCGGATTGAAAATGAAATGAAAATATGCAGGGCAGAAAAAAATCGTGAGAAATAACTGAGAACTGATATACTCTATGTTCAAAATTACAAAAGAAAAGTAATCTTAGGTTTTTGGAGATGTATCAATCATTTTTTAGGCTTTTTTTTCTTTTCTGTAGTTGCTAACAGCGATGGCAAAGCCTAACCTGGTGTATGGATAATCCAAGGCAGTTCAGGGTCTTCTCAGGAAGGTCTTTGATGTCCGTCCTCAGATCAGGTAACGTCTCGCTCACATCATCGTCTTCAATCAGCTCTTTGTAATCTACGGTGATGCTGCCTTTTCTCTCAATCTCATCCTGTTAGAAGGGCCAATGGAGAGGAAATCCTCAAGAGTTCTCAAGAGTAAAATATTGTAGCAAAACCCTCCACATGAAAAAATTCTCATATGTTCATTATTCGGTGCAAGGAACTGCAGATGGCCGATCAAACGATCAAGTGAAGGACGAATTATGACCATGAACCAGTCTGTGCAAATGTATGGCACGGGGATGCAAGACCAATTAAGTATTGAATGTACACACAACTATGGTTAAAAATGCGCAAAAACAGCAACTGAACGTGGACAAACAGCAGTATTAGAGCATTCAAATGTCTTTAAAGGTCAGTCACGTTAATGTGGCCAACTTTGACTAATGTTGGAGATATATATTTGAAACAATCTACAACATCAAAAATTAAATAAGGGGAGTTTCAGCCGTAAATAAATATAAAAGTTAAAAGCAGCTCCACCCCCTCTGCTAAAAACCAGAAGTCAGACAAAAGCCATCGATAGCATCTGCTACAAGCCCATTTTGATGACGTCAAAGGTGCAGATCTACAATCAAACGACTTGTGTGCCATATTTGTACATAATAATAATAATATAATAATGAAAACAATTTACAATGTAGGAGGCTAATCATCCTTACTCGCAGATGAGAAGCCGAATTGCGAGTGACGCAGCTACAACGTGGTCGAGCCGCTGGCACGTAAAGGCACCTCTGGCAGCCAGCCACATTGACCCATGTATGACCACGGAGCACAGCCTGATATCGAAAGTGTTTGATTTTCCTCCGGGAGGAAAACCAGAGGGCCCCGGAAAAAAAAACCTCACATGGCACAGGAGAGAATCAACGCACAACTCTACTCATGTATGGCATGTATGGTCCGCAGCCGGGATTCGAACCAGTCCCACAGTGGTGACAAGCAAGCGCTTTACGCCCAAGCCACCCATGCCAACCACAGTGAATGCATTTCACACATTTACGATTCACTTGTGAATAGAAACAATTTAGGCAGACTTTCTGACAGCGCGTCTAGTTTCGAAGATTTAACAAAGGAGGAGAAAGGCACAGTTTTTACACAGATCTTCTCCCTGGCAGAATTAATCAAATACTGCAAAGCTTCAATGAATTCAACGACAAACGAAGCATCCACGCATCGTGTGCTCACTGCTGTATATTTAATGCTGTGAAAACCAATACAGGCCAAGCAGATTTGATTTTTGTGGGAGTGCTAGAGCCGCATCATGACATAAACAATGCTCCTCTTCCGTTTGCTGCCCTCATTGACGCAATGTTACACTCTGGCTTTCAGCAGAGGGGTGGAGCAGCTTTTGAACTTTTTTTTCTGCTGAAACTCCCCTTATTCAATTTTCGATGTTGTAGATTGTTTCAAATATATCTTCAAAATCAGTCAATGTTTGCCACGGTAATGTGACTGATCTTTAAAAGTTAACGCATTAACACCTTCACTACATTGTATTACACTGTATTTATTTGCTGCCTGAAAAATCTTTACAATCATTTGAGTGGTCAGGGGCGGTTTGGGGGGTCTACGATGAGTAAAAGGCAGGGGGGTTTCGGCACTACAGGGACTCATGGGTTAAACAGCAGTAATGCTTCTTCGTTCCATTTGTAAAGTTGAGGCCAAACTTATGCAGAGTGTATAATGACTGCTTTTTGTTAAAGGGTCATCTCGTACCTTGTCATAGGCCTTCATTCTTGATTTAAAGAACTTCTCAAAGGCCTTGACCTTCGCAACAGTTGGTGAATGCTCACTGTAACCTGCAAAAAGTTGAGTTAAAAGTGGCATGTTGATACGAAAATGGGAAAAGCATTGCATTTTCAATGTGTGTTTGCATATATGCATTTTGATGAATGATGCACACAAATAAAACTTTTATTAGTATCCTTTTTTCTCCAATTCTCCGAACAGCATGGAACTACAACTTCCTGATGTTATCAGTTGCTACCCATCCAATAAATGATAGTACTCCTTCCCCAAAATAAACCACGTATTTGTTTGATATTATTCCTCATATATATATTTAGTTTCATTATTGAAAGTGGCAAAATTCCCTGGAAAATCCCTCGCACGGAATGCGCATTTAACTCATCGGTCTGTCTTTGAGGTTTCACTTTGGTATAGTGGTGTGATTCATATCTGGATTATTTAAAATTACGTTTGAACTTCACTATTCGGTTTCGATTTTAGAAACCGGATATTCCAAACTGACCTTGAAAAATTAATTAGCCTATCATTTTGTTGTGACACATGCTAAAGAGGGAACAACTGGAACATCCCCCAATTTGCTCTGTGGTCTCTGATTGTAACTGCATTCACTTGCTAGTGGTCTTCTGGGTATATGAATAGCCTGCCCATTCGACTTATCAGAGAGTTCCCGCTAATTTTGTTCCCAACATTACAACTCTGGAGTGTTATTGTGAAGGCCCAGTAGTCATTTAATCCTGCAAACTATACCCAGTCATTGGAAGGGCATTTCATGCGGCAACTCACTCGCCACTTTTTGTTGTGCATGACTGTGAGCTGAATGGGAACTTCCGGTGAAGTCAGAAAACTGTTATTCGGTTTGGAAAAAAAATGAGGATAACCGGATTTAGAAATCTCGGCTGTTTCTCACACCACTAGTGTGGTACCACCAGAAACCTTACTTGTGATCACATCTCTTGCATGGTTGGGAGTCTAGGTGTTCTAGGAGGTACATGTACATGTACTAGCTACTACCTTCTTATTTCCCTGTGCAGTTTAGCTTATCTCACTTCCTCGACACAGTGGAACATCAACCAATGAAAGATGTACACTATATCCATGGGGTGCAATAACTAGCCTTACCGCTGTCTCAGTCTGGCAGATTTATTAACTTAATTGATAATTATGTGTATTTAAAAAGTGCATGTATCCATCAGTATTGGTGCTCAAGGCGCTACATCATTATTACCCTGCTCATTGGGCCAATGAAGATTCCAAATACCATCTCAGCTCCCTGGGGAGTATACAGCTTGATGCTGCCATTTCAGCACAAAGCAGCTAAATCAATCACTCTCCTGAAGACGGTCAGAGCATACTGACCGGAACGTCGAGTTTATACCTCTGGTTCTTTTCAGAACCAATCTCTTAGTTGAGAAATTATTCGCACATGGTGTTTCCGCAAACCTTTCATTATTTAGTATCTCCACCATGCAAAGCCTCAAATCTTACTTAAATCAATCACAATAATCATCTCTGCCCTCACAGGTACCAAATATACTCCTGGGTGGGGAGAAGCAATGAGTGACAAAGTGCTTTGCCCTAAAGGCACACACACCATGACCCCAGGCTGGACTCAAACCCACCAGCCTGCAGAATTACTCGCAGACCACAAATTCAATGCTCCAGACCATGAGGCCACGGCACAAAGTGCATACATTTGTCATGTTTTCTCACCCTCATCTTTGAAGTAGTATCTCCAGCCCTTGTAAGGAGTAAGAGCCTCAACTATGGAAGCATCAGCGTGTCGGGTGGAGCTGGTGGGCCCACGATTTGTGGAATAGTTGGAGTTTCTTCCACCTACATTGGAAGATAATAATTCACATTTCCTACATGTGGGATGACAGGATTACAGGATTACAGATTTAGGTTTACAGGTATCTTGGTTTCTTTTGAAGTCTGTATTGGTAATCGAAATTTCAGCTTCCTCCGTCTGGTAAAAATATGAAAAAATGTGTTATAATTTGTTTTGCTATTGCAGGAGAGATTCATACCCTGGACTCCGTTGCGTGTACGCAACGGAGTCCAACCTGGGCTAGGGGCTTGATGATACGTACAGTAATTCTTTGTCCTTCATGAGTACACCATCCAGTGCCATTGACAGTTTGCGCTCAGTGTCCATATTAAAATTGACTCACCTCTGTTTCCATTATAACCCCTCCATCCACCACCTCGTCCTCTGCCTCGGTAGGTACCACCTCTGCCTTGCCCCCTCCCCTGTCCCCTCTGCCAGCCACGCCCCCTACCTTGGCTTCCTCCCCTGTCGTTATTGCTCATTGTCACAAGTCTGTCCTACGTTGTCTTCATCGGTTCTCTTGTGTATCACTGTAAGATTAAGATATCAATTATCATTCAAATTCCCACAGTTAAGTTTACTAGCATTTTGTCCGTTTGAAGCAACAAAAGTGCTCAAAATCTAAAGAAGGGTGCTGAATAGCCCAGGTTGGACTCCTTTGTGTATACCCAACGGAGTCCAGGGTATGAATCTCTCCTGCCATAGCGAAAAACATTATAACACATTTTTTTCATATTTTTAACTGACGGAGGAAGCTGAAATTTCCCTTACATATTCCTTGTGTCCTGAATTGTACCTACGCTGGGTTTAGGAACAGCAAATATGTCAGCGGGCGGCGTGTTTACCGAAAATAAACCACAATCCCACGCTTTCGCGAAAACATTTTCAGTACGAACTCCCCGTGTGAAGATTACGCGCGCGCGTGCATGCACACCTAGCACGGCAGCACAGCAGCAAACGGCACGTGGGCGTAAGTCTTCACACGGGAAGTTCGTACTGAAAATGTTTTCAACGAAAGCGTAGAACTTGTGGTTTATTTTAAGTAAACACGCCGCCCGCGGACATATTTGCCTTTGCTGTGCTGAACCCAGCGCAGGAACAATTCTGGACACAAGAAATATATGTAAGCGAAATTTCAGCTTCCTCCGTCAGGTAAAACAAATATGGAAAAAAGGGGTTATAATTTTTTTCGCTATGGTGGTACAATTTATACCCTGGACGTCAGTCGTAATGCAATGAAGACATCGTCCAACCTGGGCTAGGTGCTGAACAACTAACCTGATGAAGTTTCAGCTCTTATCAAGCTGAAACTTTATCATCAATTTGAGTCTGTGTACATGTTTGGTTTTAAACATAAAGAGGAGGAACTTTACAATAAAAGTATGTATAAAGAGTGATCCGGAACTGTTGCACTGACAAGTATGACGTGACGTGACCAGCTTACTATTGCAAACTTAAGTACAAAGTGGAGGTCGAGGGGAAAGGCTTGCCCCATAAATGTGGCCCATTTACTAGACTACCTCCGTAAATAAAAGCTACACTTCCACCATGTACAAAAACATGTCGACCGTTGTCAAATTTTGATTTTCACATTTAGGCTGAGTTTGTAGTTTATTTTTGCTTTAGAAGCATACTCACCCTCTGTATAGGCTAATCAGAAAGTGCTGCCTTTTTCAGATGTCTAATTTTCGTGAAATTTCATGTTGAAATTTTGATACGCAAACGAATCTGGAAATTTCACGAAAAATAGACATCTGAAAAAGGCAGCACTTTCTGATTAACCTATAAAGCGGGTGAGTATGCTTCTAAGCAAAATTAACTACACACTAAGCCTAAATGTGAAAATCAAAATTTGACAAAGTTATATGTTTTTGTAGGCTACATGGTGGAAGTGTGGCCTTTCATCATGTTCATGCCTTTATCATGGTTTAGTATTTACGGAGGTAGTCCAGTAAATTGGCCACATTTTGTCCAACAAATTCTGTGAAGGTATTACATATGTGAAATAAGCAGTAAGTACTAGAACAAAGAAACCCTGCCTACCTTACATGGGGTCAATCTTGCAACTTTTCGAAGTTTCGCGCTGTAAAACCGAGTTTTGCAGTTGATTTTGCTCCGTTTCCCAAACTGTGTCTAGAGAGGGCGGGCTTCATCATGCCGAAATAATAACGTCAAGGTGGTGAGGCGGAGTTGGCCTTGCGGCATGGATGTCGCACGCGCCCCGGAAAATGTTCAATCAAAAAAATTCCTTCTGTCACCCATTACGGTTACCCAATAATTATTGCAAGGACAACTCTTGTGTTTTACAACTTCCGTTCACAATCAAAAGCTTGCCCCACAAAATTAAGCTAGCTGACACTTGACACTTTTGACAGTCAACATGGATGCGAAGTATCTAAGCGAACTATTATTATCGATGATTCCAAACACATAAAATGACTTTTCAGCCTGGTTGTGGCATATCATAGCCACATGTTTAAGTATCAACTGCCAAAACATAAAGATGTCGTTTCGTTCTCTTATAAGAAACGGGGTCATTAACTACACGATTTATACTGCTACTGGCCTTTAGTGTTTTTATGCGTTGAATGCAACGCCCCACCCCACCCCCTTGAAAAATCTTGGCAGCGACACCCAAGCCGCCCGCCCCACCCCCTTAAATCTGGATCAAGCGTTGTATTGTCATCGTTGCATTTTTTTTTTCATCCTCGATGGGGAAATTCTAAGCGGCGCATCCAGGTTTTGAGTCCAGGACGGTTGGGGTAGTAACAGACCCATGTTTGACCGGAGATAGGGCTAGCTCCGTGGAGAACGGGTAATATACTCAGACTAGTTGGGGGGGGGGGGGGGGGGGGGCTGCCCCCAAAACCCTCGGTTTTTTTTTTAGGTTCGTTGAAATTATTAACAACTGGAGGGACTACATAGCAGTGGCGTAGGGGGGGGGGGGGCTGTCGGCACGTGGCCCCACAAATTCCCAGGTGTCCCGCCCCAGGTACCCCCAGGTGCCCCCCCCCCCCGTTTGCCCCCCCCCCCCCACCACCGCCACAAAAAAAAAAAAACAATCAAACTTTGGCGCTTGCCTAGGAAGTGTCCCCCCCCCCTTTTGAATTTGTGGTGGCCTGGAAATTTGGGGGAAATGTTGTTGGGTCTGCCCTTGGTGCCCCCTCATGCCCCCCCCCCCCGAAAAAAATCCTGGCTAATGTTACGTAGATCCTAATTAGTTATCCCGAACGCAAATTGAATGCAACTGATATCTTCATCACATCTATTTTCCCCCAATACACCAAAACAGAAACATCGAAAGAGAAAAATACCCAAAGAATGTAGAGGGTTACAAAACAAATCATCTGTTCAAATAAAAAATATCCCAAAACTGATAATAATTCTGTTTCCATCCTATCCTGCTGATTTCATTTATTTATTTATTTCATACATCATCCAACAGCGCAAACGCCAAACACGAATGGATAAATTGATTAATTAACAGTATAAAAATTAAAAATTAGCAAAATAATTTGCATAAGAATCACGACTTCAAAACATTAAATAAAAAAAAAAAAATACCAAAACAAATTCACAAAATGACACAGGCGCACTCTGTGCTTGACTATCAATACAACAAAATAATGTAAAATACATCATGGTATTCCCACAATAAATATCAAGTCTTCAACATTACATGCACTTTAAGATGAGACAGGCTCACTCCAGGCCCGACCTTTCAATCCATGATGCATCTGACGGTGTGGAACCAGACTAATATTACTGAATTCTCACGGTTTTGATGAACCCCGAATCAACCACAATCTTCCCTCGTTCATTATTTGAAATATATTCCCATTTACTCCCCCATCCCCCCCCCCAAGAAAAATCGCATTTTTCATTATGGTAACTATATACAAGAACGGACGAAATGAGATTGAGATGGACGCACGACACATTGTTGCGTATAAATTCTCTGATATTTTATATACAAAAGAACGAGTCCATAATAACCATGCTCATTCTGTAAAAATACACGAAAAAAAAATCACCACTGTAACACTATCACCGGGCTTTAAATAGACAACAATTTAGAAAGTGAAACTGTGAAAGATAATCTGGGGAATTGCCTTCATCTCGTGACACTGTATACTCCCGAGCTATCCATACTGTTCTACTCATAGAGGCCTATTCCATTATCCGTGCTATTCCGAGTTTCACCCCGAAAATACGTTTGATTTTAAATTTTTTTCCAGCGATGTAACAGTTAATTTGATAAACTGGTTCCCGATCCATTTTAGATTCGGTAATGTAGGGACTGGGAACCAGTCTACCCAGAGAGTGGAACTTTTTGTTCACACAAGCAAACCCCATAAAAGCTCTTTTGTAGAGGATTTCAGACGCCAAAAATAGAATTTCATTTTTTCCCCCTCGTCATAACAAAAACCAAAACGTCCAAATAATATAACTGGGAGAAAAATTAGAATCTGTGAAAGAGGACAGACACTACTTCCTTAAAAGGAAATGTGCACGACGTCACTCCCACGACAAAAATAACCTTATGTTGCCCGGTTAGAATTTTAAAAAACTAGAACATCCGAGTCCAAAAATTTTAACCAAAAGATGTACCCATAATTATTTCCCACACTCCAATTTCTTCTACCAATCATGGGCGTCGCCAGGATGGGGGGGGGGGGCGCTTATTCCCCCCCCCCCCTGAGAAAAGCCACCCAACAAAGGGAAGAAAAAATAGGGAGAAAAAGAAAAGAAAAAGAGGTGTGAAGTCATATTTGCTATTAATTTCATACACATGGTGTCTGCAGGGGTGTCAATGGGGGTGGGGTGGGTAACTGCCCCCGCCCACCCTCGAAAAAAATGATAAAATGAGAATATGCTAGAGAAAGTACAAGGATGTGGGGGATGTGTTCCCCCCCCCCCCCCTAGAAAAAAATCCTGGCGACGCCCATGCTACAAATTATCATGATGTTTCACACAGAGATTTAGACACAATTCTTCACAAACGCTAGCCTTATGTCTTGCCAGTAATCATAAACGCGTATAACACACGAAGCCAAGTTGCTTTGTACCCCCTATGTACCCCCTATGTAACCCCCCCCCCCCCATTTTTTTTTATTAGAACACCAGAAATGCGACAAAGCGGTCAACAATCTCGTATACCATTCACAGCCAGTAATTTTGAAGTGACTGTATACACATACCGAAAGTAGCGTGCTCTTTCTGAATACAATCACACAAAACAGAATTCACTGAGTTTCGAGCTTATCATAGTACGACATGCATGATGAAACTTCGTGTATGACACAATCACAGCTCGTTCAATCTATTTCCAGTAAAATACTGCCAAATATCCAGCAAAATTTACACCACTCATTCTCACAGTTAAAAGATAAAATACTGCACAAAGTAATCGCATTGATGTATACAGTGGCTTACATAAAGCGAACATGTAATGCATAATTTTGAAGTCCAAAAATAGTTCATATTATTGCTGATTGACGACTTGGATCTCATGCCAAGTTCTAAACGTTAAAGGGCCATGCGATGAATTTTTCTTCGGAACACATTTTGTGCAACTTTCTACTCCTCTTAAATGTATGAAAAGTGCGCTTCTTTAAACATTTCACATTTTCCATGCTTTGCAAGACAACGGAAGGGGCTGTTGCTGTGATGTCATTTCAGGAAGACACTGTTCAGTTTAGGGGTTTTCTGTTCAAATTGTGACCCAAACTTTGCTCATTGAAAACGTTTTTGAGAAGAGTTGCTTATTGGCTTACTGCCATGTTCTTACTCAACAACGAATCACCAACGAAAATAAAATCTGACAGCAAAATATCAAAAATTCTAGCAAATGTTTGTGCTGAAATAGCTGTATCATTGAAGTATCTGCCCAGAATGACATCACAGTTTTGCTCATGAATATGGAAATTTGCATTAGCAAAAGATCCATTAAAGGAACCAAAATACCTTCCAAAATGGCAAAACAAAAATTGAAAATAAGGTTAAATGTGACAAAAGGTGCATTTTCCAGGATTGCAAAAAATTAACATTGCATGGGCCCATTAATCTCTTTGGAGCTGATGAAATCTTGAATGGTTTCAGTGGAACGTCGCTATAACGAACATCTTGGGATCCACAGATATTGTTCGTAATAGCGATCGTTCGGTATAGCGATTTTCACACATTTTTGGCGCCCTCTTTTGATCATTGTTATTGTGTAGTTGCATTTACAAACCACGCGTGGAGTCCATTAATATTTTCAATTACGCCCTGGTAGTTACTGAAAGACGACTTCAAACACGTGCGACTATTGATTTATGTAATTACACATTTTTTAATAATAGCCATTTGTCGCTCTTCCGTTGACATTTCCAACAACAATGTTCGGTATGTTTTGTACACAAAAATTGGGAGCCAAGGCTGATGTTCGGTATAGCCGAATTTTCGGTATAGCGGTGTTCGGTATAGCGACGTTCCACTGTATTTCATTTTACTGCATATATACGTGTAATTTATATTCCAACGTTGAAAACAATACATTCGTACAAATCACATCATCAAGCTAGAACTTTTAGCAAAAGCTCCACATTACATCATTTTGTACAAAAATAGGTAAAGATATATCGAGGTTTGCAGCCTCATCTCGAGTCGAGTCATACAACAACAAAAATATGATTACACGCGAGAAACCGTCTGAAAATATTGCAATGATAATTTGTTAAGAACAAAATAGTTGTGTGACATTCTGTTATGTAAATACCGGGCACATAAAATATTTTCTTATACACAACAGCCACAAACATAGTTACTTAGGTTTTGTCAGAGCCGACACGCGGACAGATCAACAGTCTTAAATTTGGAAGGTTATGTAATGTCAGAATAACTTCAAACACTTAGAAAACATATCAGTGAAAACACCTATATCAGTGCAAGACGTCTTTTACTCAACTATGCAAGAGGTAGTCAAGAATCACGTCATTATCATAACATCAACTTTGTCTTTCGTCTGAAGAGTTCAAGACTGAAATGGAATGAGTCGTTGCAGTGGTCATTATTTTGATATTCAGATTTAGCTTACAATATGGCACAGAGTATCTGCAAATTGCATATTGCATCATATTTCCGAGCACGCCACAACCGACTGCACATCTGCAGGAGGCCCCCTTCAATGGCGAAAGCATTGTACAAAGCAACTGTCCAAGACGGATTATTTGGACAATAGCTTGCACAAATGCTTTCGCCATGGAAGTGGGCCTCCGAGTGTATACAGTGATACTCAGAATGTGGACAGGGTGAGTCATACAGAAAGAAAGTGACCCGAATTAATTATTCTTTTTCTTAAAAAGGAATCAAATTTGAAACATCAATGAAGTACCGGTATATCTTAAACGAGCATGTTCTTCCACTCATCTAAAAAAAAAATGAAAGAATTACTGTGATTGATCCAGGTTATTTTTTTTATGCACGTTTTACTAAAAGCACCCATTCTTTATAGCTGTCCATGGAATGCCATTGGAAGCTATTGAGCTGAGCGAGAATTACAGATTACACACAAATAGTCAAGTACAATTAGATTTTTAATCATTTTATCAAGACTGAAACAGTTTTTTTTTACCGTCAGGTTTTGTGTTTTGAATATGAGGAACAAGTCATCTATTGTTTTTCTCTGAAATATTAATGGCGGTTTTGGCACGTTCTCCTTTGCAAGTTCTCCATCCATCGAGGTGGAAAAACGTCCATTTTTCATGTATTCAGTTCGTAGAACGGCAAATGATCAGTGGTGGACGGCTGAATTGTGTGATCTTCATAATAAAATGGACGTGACCTGGTAATGGGGTATGCAAATTACGTGATATTTTCACAGTTACTAGTCAATAACATGTACTTATGCCTGTGTTTTTTGTATGAAATGGAGCGAGCCAAATATTTCTTTATATTTTTTCTAATTCGGTCACTTTCTTTTTGACTCACTCTGTATATCAAATCAATATAACTCAGAAACCCAACATACTCCCCTTGTATGCTCTCATGACATGTTTGGCATAATATATTAACCTGAATATAGAAGTCTAGACCTAAATTGTTGGCATGGAGTGACATACTGTGAACTATACCATACTGTGAACTATACCACTGTCGCGGAGATGTCACAACCGACAGTAACATCGATGTTCCGTTGGTCATTATCAGTGTAGTCACATATAATCACGGCAAGAAGAATTCGAAGACAGTCCACATCTGTCCCTTGACATTTCATTTTGACATTTCATTATAATTATCAGCTGCCAACCCGTGGAGAGTGCCATCTATAATTGCAACCAAACAGATCAAGACAATTCTTAATTAAAAATTGAAACCTCTGACCTACGAGGTCAACTCGGGGATAACTCTAAAACACGATATGCTTACTTCATCATTTCGATCTTGTTTGGTACACAATATATTTTACACCGACTTTTTCAACATGGCTGATTTTTTTTTTATTTGATAACAACCCCTTAGGAAAGACACTTTTTTTTTTTACATCTTAAAGACCATCACGCAACCGGACGCGTCATTCCTTACATTAATTTAATAAGAAAAAAAGACACTTATTAGGTGATCTGGATGAAAAAAGTAACGTTTTGGGTGAAACAGCAATGAATGCCATATTGTCACCTCTTTAAATACTTTACTAGAGATTCCTTGATCACAATTTTCCTTTCATTCTGTTAAACACAGGCACTCTAATGACTTTCAGATCTAAAATTAAGACAAGTAAAAATAATCAATATCATCATTAAAGCCACGTAGGAACATCTGGAATTACCCGAAATAAAATACCTAATCATTTGAGAACAGATAGCGTCCTCAAATAAAAGACATGAATGGTATCAAATACCCTATGAAATTCTTCTTCCTACAATGGTATCGCCGTATCGGTTGGAAGAAAACTAACATTCATAAAACCTCAAAGACAGTTTACCCATTCCTATTGGTCGAGAGTCCGTCACGGTTGATACGGTTGATACAGACCGGCTGGCTGGTCTTTAACACTTTTCTAGTGTCAAATGAAATTTGGACTCCGGTGAAATCCGGTGCCTTTTGCCGTTTCATTGGTTGAACGTTCACAATCCTCACGTAGGCATGCGCAATACTATTGAGTCAGTGTATCATAGTCCAAAATTCACACTACACCGGTACAGCTGCGTTCTGTGCCACTCGCGCAGTACGTGCGACGCGCACACCAATCTCCATACAAGGTAAGGAGTTGTAGAGGGACATACCATGATATAGAAAGAGGGCTGTTATTCAAAACTTGTGGTGTCCACTGAGCTGAAACTCTAACAGGTTATAGTTTTTAAAGTTATGCACCCTACTTAAGATTTTGAGCAATTTTGTTGCTTCAAACGAAAAACAAAAATACATAGAAAGCAAATGATCCTGTGTACCTTTAACGACAAAGATAAAAGACTGGCTCTTTTGAACACTGTGGATATAAATAATTCCTTTACATGATACAAATGGAGCGGACGAAACCAATACAATAATTTACACTTCAAGATGTGACGAACACACAACGTATCTTTCACACAGCTGGACTGCGTCCAATCAGCATCGAGCTTTCAACATATACGTCCCCTTCATTATTTACATTTCAGTCGTAAATGTCCAGTCATTTCATTGGACGGCACAGTGCATCTCAAAACACCTTGGTCGCAACCCACATGGCCAATCAGCATCCAACCAGCATGGGGGTGTCATTTTAGTCCATCGTTCCGCCAATCGCACTAAACTGTAATATAATTGGCTGATTGTATCAATATAAACACGAAGCAGTGCAATCGTGGTATGCATCTTTCATACTCGCACTAAAAACAATTAGCACCAATACTGAAGAGCACTTTTTAAAACAGAGTCATTTTATTTTGGCGCCAATAAAATATTTCGTTTGATCAGACCTCCGTGGCGTCCCCAGATTTTGAGCTTGCAATGTCCGCTTTGCTGGAGTCCTTGTGGAATTGCTTGACCATTCGGGCCATGATTTTGAAGGCTTCTTGCAGTCCATCCCCGGTGCTGGCTTGTGTCTCAATCACCTGCCAAGGATGGTTCTCCGACAATGTCTGTAGATCCATCACCTCGGACACACGGGCCGCACTGTACGCACCTAGGAGGATGAGTCATCGAGAAATGATTATCAGAACACCTGCTGGGTAATAACAGCGAGAGCGTCTGGGCTTTCGCACGAGCACACAGCATGAAATTAATGTACAACTCACTGCACATACATTGTCAATGTTCATTTCGGTCCACTCAATACACCACTTAAATTTTTGATTTAGAAAATGAAAACCATGCACTTTCATATGATATGGAACGACTGGCTAACGACCATGGCACCATTTCAAAAAAGAAGGACGATTTCTCTCGAAATGGAGCGGGTATTAATTCTGAGATTAAACTTGATAAATTTAACTGCTTTTGGATAGTTTGATATGAATTTGGATATATAAAGTGAACGCCTTGTTCGTTTAAATACTGAGTTTTTACTTGCTATTACAAACTGTGAGCTGAATGGACAGTTATCCAACATATTTCAACAGGGACGCTTGTGGTATTGCTTCAGTGATATAAAAAATGGAACTGCTCCTTTCGAAATATATAAATTCAAATTATTGTTCATCACGTGAACTGGGTTTTCAATTTCATTTTAATCCATGTTGCACGAATATCAAAACTCGAAGAACAGTTATTTATAAAAATGCGGTATATAGTGGCAGTCACAACATGGTGACACATTTTCTATATGTAATGCTCCGCGCATGGTCAATCAAGGAATCTAGAATTAGAATTGAAAACGAGGCTCTCAGTGCTACGCCATTGTACGACACTGAGGACCTCGGTTTCAGTGCCAACTTAAAATTCGTCAATTCGTCAACGAGAAAATCTCGCTTCTCCAGTAACATAAAAGATAACACTCCATGTTTAACAACTGACCTTGCTAAACAGCAATCGATAAAAAGCGATTTAAAAATGGAAATGTAAGCTGGCAAGTCGGTTTCATTAATTGCATACCGACTTCAAACAAGAATATTTTACCCCATACTGCTATTTTGATGTCCATCCCACTTATAGTTATACCGGTAATCGTGTACTTTAGGACTAATGCACCTCTTGTGATTTACAACGTTCCGTTCATTAATCAAAGCACTGCCCAAGGGCGGATCGGGGGGGGGGGGGGGGGGGAGCAAAGGGGGCCATGCCCCCCTCCCCCCCCCAAAAAAAAAGAATCTATTTTTTTTGGGGGGGGTTGACTTCGCAATAAAGGCAGGCGATGAGTACACCACCATCTTTTCCTCACAAACCCATTGGTAAAAGTAGTCAGAAATTGCCTCAGATCGCACCACAGAGCATCTAGAATCCAAAAAAAATTTGGCCCCAAGCCGTAATTTTTTGGGACTCACTACCAGATTTTTTTTTGGCCCCCCCCCCCAAAAAATTGTGTTCTGGATCCGGCCTTGGCCCCGCCCTCTTTATCTTTCCACAATGTAGCTGATATTCAACATGGTATCTCAGCCATGTTAGCGAACTATTTAAAAGATGATTCCAAACACATAAAGTGACTTATCCTGCTTGTATGATAGCCAAATGTTTAGGTATTAAGTCCCAAAACATAATCTTTTCGTTCTATACCACTGACAAGATATACAGTTTCTGTGCACTGTTGTACTAAACTAATTTTCTACCCTACCTGGCAAGTCTTGTTTATTGGCTAACACGAGAACCGGGATTCCCTTTGTCATGTGGGGGTTGGAGACTACTCGGAAGAGCTCATCCCGGGCCTCCCACAGACGCCCTCTATCGGCACTGTCCACAACAAATATGAGTCCTGAAAAAATGGAAAAGTGCAAGAGAAACATTCAAAAGAAACATTCTCTACATTTGCCGTCTGATCTAGGCACACACTTTGTACTTAATTGAAGTACAATTGTACAAATAGTTTAAGAAAAATGATGTTGCAGATAAAATATAACAGGACTTCAAAGTCAGTAAGCTAAGTTAAGGGTACTCTGCGTAATGTATCGAACGGGGAATACAAATTCCGTCCTTAAAAAGGTATTGTACATCCCTTGCACAACGAAAAAAAAATCATCAAATGTTCATGCCGACTCCAAATGCAACAAAACCTTGATCAAAACACCGGAAATGTTACCAAGGTCATTATATGTTCAAAGGTACAAAAATTAAAGTTTATATTCAAGCGACTAACGTCGGATCTTTATACAAATCTTCATGAAGTATTGATGGGTAGTTGACATATATATTTTTTAATACAGCTGGTCAGACGGAGTCACTCCATACGATATTTCGTCAAATTGTTTCTATATGCCATTTTCACATACCAAAGCCTGATTGGTGTGTGGATCATGAAAAAGTCCCATGCCGAGTTTATCACTAACAAATTCTAGCAATGTCTGTGAAATATTATTCATCAATCATCAGAAAGTATCTGTGATGTCTCTTGATATGACACACTTTGGGGATCACGATGATGCAATACTATATCATAGCGATTGTGGAATTTCAGCGACTGTTAAACCAGGCTTCACAAAAGTACAAACTGCATGCCTAAAAATATAAACTACACTGGAAGGTGAATGGGCCTGGACTGAGGCCTATTCAAGAGACTACAATGCAAGAAATTCCATACCGAATGAATGAAAGGTACACAAAAGGTATCACGAATTAAGCTACGCTGGGAATATTTTCACGTCTTTATTCAGTGGGGAAATGCAAAAACCTACAGGCTTGTGTGATTGTGCGTACACAATTCCCTATCAGAGGGGCAACAGGGCGAGTCAAAACGAAAGTAACCGGGATTAATGGTTTTTTCACCACACAAAGCAATTAAATTTGATACACCAATGATGCACTATTACACGAGCATGTTCTTCCAATAATCTGGGGGGAAATTACTGAAATTGATCCTTGCTATCCGAGTTTATACGTGTTTTAATAAAAGAACCCATTTTTACAGTTATCCATGGAATGATAAATGATTTGAAGCTATTCAGCCGAGTTAGAACCAGATATTGCACATTCAAATGAGTTTTAATTAGAGTCAAAACTGAAACATATTTTTACTGTCAGATGGAATAAGTCAAGTCTTCTTTTTTTACGAGAACTGTGATTTTTTTCTGTTTTCCTTTGCTAGTTTTCGATCATTGTACATGTATTGAAAGGGTATTCATCAATTCGGTAAATGATCAGTGGTGGACAGCTGAATTGTGTGTTTTTTAATATAGAAATAACTTGTGAACAGAAACTGCAAATTACGTGACATTTCCGCATATACTAGTCAATACCATGTACCTTATTCATATATTATTTTTATTAAATGGAACGAGCCACATTTTTTTTTCTAACTTCGTCACTTTCTTTTTGACTCAACCTCTATTTGTATTTTATTGAGAATTCCTCGTTCGTTGCCACTTTCATTTCAAATTCCTTCACAATCTCGCAAGGTCAGCCTGAAAGGAGGTGGCATGCAAACATTACCCATTTGTAGATTTGAAATATTAACGGCTTGATAATTTTTCCAAGCTTTGGAATGAAATCAAACCACGCAAAAAGAAAGCAAAAACACTCGCCAATCACAACTTTATAATTCATATTAATGTTATAACAAATGAAAACGTGCATAAAGAAAGCAATACTACTTAAATAGTAAACACAACTTTTAAATTAATAGTAATGTATATTACAAGGAAATACAATCACACAATATGTTTATAAACATCTAATAAGTCAACCTTTTGATGTAGATGGCAAATCCAAAATTCAAGCCATTCAATCGCTTTGTGGCTTTTGATTAACTTTGACCAAATTGCAATCTGGTTTCCTTTGAATTGGTTTGTTTGTTTGTTCAGAATCAATGCGCAATGAGGAAGTATAGATTTCCAGACAGGACTAAGCTATAAAAAAAAAACATGCCACACGGAATAAATCTAAAACGAAACAACATGCATACAAGCCAGCTTACTCTCGACATTCTATTGGCATGATTCTGTCATTGTTTACGTTGTCAGGGTTTCGTTTCTCTCGAACTTTGTACAGTGTACTTTTTCTCTCGCAATACGAGTAGCAGGCTCGCGATGCTCCCTGCGCTATACAGAACTGGTTGCAACTTGTCCCAATGAAGCATTACTTCCTCGAAACGTGTGCACAAGCAAAATAAAGAGTGATGATGGAGAGAGAACATTTTCGGCTTTTCCAAACTCGACCTGTGTAGTGTGTATGAAGTCCAAAAACGTAGCCGTGACTTGTTTTGCGTTCCGTGGGTGCAGTCCTACATGTTTCCCAGTCCCTAGGGTTAGGGTTGGGACCGGGGAACATAGACTGGGAACATAGGTACGCACCCGTCCCTATGTTCCCCGGTCCCTAACCCTAACCCTATAACCCTTTGTTGTAAGACTGGGGAACATAGGGACTCAACATCGGGACTGGGGAACAGGGACTAGGGAACATCGGGTGGACCCCACCCCCACCCCCACCCCCACCCCCGAATGTTCGTGTCTTGCAGCGAAGAAAAAAATCAATGGGACAACCTACACAGTAATGAAGAAACCACTGGACAAACCAGAAAAAAACCACAAGAATGATTTACAATACCAGAAATAGCACTGCTTCACGTGAACTTTCCCCATCTCCCTGAAGCAAAAAGCATTATGGATGCATTCAAGATGTGACAGCTGCTAATGTATTTCCGTCCAGAGCAAAAGAAAACCCGACTATAGCGGTGATAGGGCATATACATTTCAATAAGGGTATTATTTTTGGTCCGGAAATGCCCAGAAGTGAAAGTCATTTCAGATTATTAAATGCACTTCTCATCTGCACTGTGGGTTACTGTGAAATGTAGATCGGGTTAAACTTAAAGGAAAGCTCGCGGTACGGAAAAGGTAAAGAGTTGTGTCAATCCATAAAGACTTTTACATCCAACTTATGTTTTAGCTATATGTAAATGTGTTTTACTGGGCAATGAGAGGGAAACGGGTACATGTTTTATATTCAAAGAGGTTATTCGCAATGTTGATTTTTAAATGTGATTTTATTTAGAAAGAACAGAGGTTATTATACTTTTGGTTACATCGCTGAGTTCCGACACCCCTATGTTCTGACACCACTATGTTCCGACAATGCAACCTATGTTCCGACATCCCTATGATCCGTACCCCTCCAACCATCCTTCCTCCATGCTCCAACATCCCTATATGTTCTGACACTCTTATGTTCCGAATACTCAACCTACCGACACCCCTATATTCCGACTACTCAACCTATATGTTCCGACACCCCTATGTTCCGACTGCACATACCCCTATCCTTATCCCTAACCCTAAACCTAACCCTAAACCTAACCCTAAACCTAACCCTCACCGATAGTAATACAATTTTGTGTGCAGGTTGTCGGAACACAGGGGTGTCGGAACATAGAGCAGTCACCAATACTTTTGGATCGCAGTCGCAGTTCGCAATCATTAAACTTTCCGGGGAAAAAAGAGTCTTTTATATTTTGAGCGTCTCCAACCCTCTGAAAAAGGCGGGGTTTGTGGGTTTTTTTATGGAGGGGGTGATTTTGCCTCTCTATGTATAGTGCGTAAACTATTATGTCTAATAACTAATTGTAGGGCCGCAAACAACTACATGTTTAGAAATTAATTATTCTACAACTACGCGTGGTTATTTGCATGAATAACATGTGCAATTAAAACATTTTTTTCGAGGGTCCCAAAAATAACACTGACAGTACATTTTAAAATCCATGATAGCCATAGAAAAAGGCACCACGTACATGTACACGTTGATTGAACTTCTCCCTTTAATTTGCCACGTTGAGACATGAGCTGCAGATGACGAGTGCGAATGATCAAGTGATATTCCTCGCTAAAGCATTTTGGGGAGTTTACCGCACCTTGGCAAGCATGTCGTGGGAAGGCAGGCGCACCCTACTCCCATGAGACGTAAGGACTGTTTCGGTAAGTCCAAGGGTCGGTTTGCAAGATTAACCTTTGTTGGAGTCAACAGAACCTTTCATGAAAAAGTCCATGGTTAAATACACCAGGTGTTTTGTGCATTTGGATCCTTTACAAGCCCGGGTCACGAATGGCAATTATACTTCCAGTTTCAGTTGGATTGAAATCGCAATAGCAATAAAAAATGCTATCGTCTATATCTCCCACGGGTCCAGGAAATCAGTGCACACGCATTATGCACTGGACTGCGGTACAAAACAAAACTCTGTTAGTCATGAAATGAAGTTAATAAAGAAAACACGACAAGGAAACCTATAGCAGGGCTGGTCCCAGAACACACACAATTCTATATTCAGTCGATTCAGAATGGCTAACAAGTTCGCAGAGAATTTTGGTGGTAGCTTGATGGAAATAAAAGATCCACTTTCGCCGTACACATTGACTTATGCCTACACATGTATCATGTCAGTGGGGGACTTAAGCAAGTCTATTTCACAAGATGCAGTCAGTCAGTGAGATACACTCAACCAAAAAAGAAAGTCCCCCCTTAATACTTTGTTGTCTTACTCAAAAACTACTCGGCACATCTTTCTCAAATTACGACTGATCACTACAGAAGTTCCTTAGCAATCCGGCCATACTCTTTGTTTGGCCCAAAACAGTGATAAGCTCTACCAAATTATGCAGTTTATGACAAATGGAACCGAGAAAAAAGTTGCACTTTTGTATACGTGCGAGGTGAGTGTGAACCACAAATTGCACGTATACAAAAGTGCAACTGTTTTCGGTATCATTTGTCATAACTTGCATAAATTCGTACACATTATCACTGTTTTGGGCAAAATAAAGAGTA